ACAAGATTGTACACATCCACCTAGCATGATGGAAGGTTCCAAGTTTGTGCCACTGTATATTTATTTGTTTTGGATTGAGTAATTGCAAAGCAAGATGACAACATTCTCGATAATCATCTCTTAACATTTTTCGAGATTTCCGGTTAAGTAAACCAGATAAAAAAATTATTACTTCTGCTTGTTTAGTCTTTAGTACTGGTTCTTCGATTTACTAAAAGTAGTATCTGAAGTTAATGAAAGCTTAGGCCTTACCTCATAATTTGGAGATCTATATTCTTCAAAAACTTTTAAGTAAACAGAAGACAAAACTCTTTCAAAAATATGGTGTCGGTAGGGGCACCAAAGTAACTTTTTGTTAAAGTGTTCTTCAATTAACTTTGCAGAACCATTTATCCAGCCTGAATTTGATGGAGTTGTATCAAAAATCATTGCCATAAGTATTTTTTCTAGTTTCCATGCCTTTACAGCATCTGTGGTAGCTGTTGCCTGAATTTGCCCAGTTGTATCAGGAATCTGGATACACACAACAATTTCCCTTCAGGTGCACTTGGTTTTCCTGTTACAACAATAGCCAAATGTTCCACTTTATTATCGACCTCAGATACTTTTGAATCCAAGTGAATTAAAGAGTATATGGGTGAAATGAATGTTTTCTTAAGATCATCTGAAACTTGCTGTCGAATTTTATTACCTGATTTTATGCTTCTCTTTTTTCGCCTTTCTTTTCACTTTCATAGCATAACTCTTGTCTAATGGGCCTAAAAATTGCTTTTTTTCTGCATTTGATGCTGCAATATCAAACAACAATGATAATTTATTAGTAAAACTCAGAAGTTGAGTTGCATAACATTTTTTTTTTTTTGCATTTTTAATCAAGTTTTCTCTAAGATGATACAGATGTAGTATCATTCTGACAATATCTTTCTTCTGTTTTATTGGAATTCCTGCCATTTTCCAAAAAAAAATAACTTTTTCCTAAACTACAGATGCAACTTCTTTTTTACCAGTTAATTTCAATTCAAATCTTGCAAGATAAAGATAATGGTGTACAACATCTCCATTTGTTGGTAGTTGACTATACATCTTTGCTTCAAGGGTAGGTAATAATTTACCAACAATATTATCAAACTTCTCATCATTTTTCCTCAATTTACTATTGCTCATAACTGATCAAATATTTTTTATATATGCTATTATATCAATAAATAAAAAAGTAGCTATAAATTATTTGAATAGGTAACATTAATATTCATCATAAAAAATTTTCTCATCTCAAGCATTGCGAATAATATTATTTAATAATTTTTGAGAATAATTGAATTGAAACAAATTATATTTACTAATATTAGCTATGATACATAATTATAATAGTGATCAATATTGATACAAAACATATTTAATTGCAATAATACATTTATATATTTAGCCTAAAATCAATTTAAAAGTGAATAATTCTGAAAAAGTGGGCTGCAGAGGGGGGGTAAAAACTTTAAAAGAAGGGCGGGGGGGGGGGTCAAACTTTAAAATTTTTCAAAAATCTTTTTATTTTCACTTTTAACAAACTAAACTACACACAAAACTAAAGGAAAATTTTTCAAAGTTTTTTTTAATGGTTGTTTAAAAACACAAACCTTGAAGAAAAGGCATCTGCACAGACACAAGTTTTGGTACTACCAGGGACATGGTAGGGATTGAAATCTGTTTTATATGATGGTGACCTATGGCATATGATATAATAATGTGTTTACGAAATCAATTTATTAGTATATTTGATGCATGTAGAAAAATCTGGTCAATTTTTGTTTTAGATTTTTCTAAAAACATTTAAGCTTTTCGTTTCAAACTTTTTTTTAAATAAAATGTGTCCAATAATTAGCGTTTCAACTTAATTTTAATGGGCTTGATGGTTTTCTTTGGGACCTAATGAGTTGCATTTGGGTGGATTCGTATCTTCAGAAAGAATCTTCTTATAGTTAGAGAGTTTTCTTATAATTAGAAGCGAGAAGCAATTAAATTGGGACGAAAGAGAGGCATTGGTGCTTTTTTATAAATGACTTTGAAATTTAAATTTTTTTTTGGAGGCATTCTTTGATGTCAAGTTTGATGTCAAGGTTTTTTTAGTGACAAAACAAGCGGACCCTATACCACAGCTGTAAATTGCTTGCCACACAAATATAATGGAATTCATTATTGACAGGTTTATCTTTGTTCTCGTTGTAAAATAGTTAATCAGGAAATCTGTCGTGCCATATGTTCTGTCGTTTTATATATACATAAATACATACATAAATACATAAATACTTACATACATACATACATACATACATACATACATACATACATACATACATACATACATACATACATACATACATACATACATACATACTAAAATAGTTGTTATGAATATGCATGCATGTATACATTTATCACTGTTAAGCGTTTATACATGCGTATGTATGAAAATAAAATTCTAGGAGTGTGGATATCACCACGGAAAAGCTGTTTTAGATGGATTGTTAAAGTCAGATCGTCTTGCGTTTGGTGCTTCAAATGAACAGAATCCAAAGTCAAAGCAAATAACTGTTGTAAGTTTTTTTTTATTATTTTATAGATTTTTTTTTTTTTTTGCTTAAAAAGTTTATATTTTATTATTGAAATTTTTAAAGCATAACAGTACTGCTCCATCCTTTACTGATCTTGCTGAGTTAGTATCTCGAATAAAACCTGCTGCAACAATTTCTACAAAAATTTTTGATTATTATTCAGAAGACGATGAAGACGATGAATTTAACAAAATGGAGTATGAGAGAGCTACTGCATCTGATCAGGAATGCTTTACAGAATCATATCTAAGTGCCCCTGAAGAAATAGGATATGAAGTAAGCAATTTTTTATGAATAAAACGGAGAAAAAAAATGTAAAAGAATATTTAATCTAAAATCTTCTTCAACTAAGTGTATAAACATACATCATCTCCTAAGCAATTTTATAATCCCAAAAATGTCATCCAACCAGGTATAAAATAAAGTCATTATTGATTCAACATCATTTTTTTACAATTTATATTTAGTAGATTGCAGAGAGAAAAAAAATTAAGCTGTATTAATTACATTTTATCACGTTATTAGATTGATAAATTTTATCTTTATTTTTAACTTTTACGATCAAAAATATTACAAATCACTTCATAAATTGAAAAATGAGAAAAGAATAAATTGAATGTTGCCACAAAAAGAACAGTAGTTTTTACCAGTCCTAATATAAAAGAATAATTGTTTGAATGCAGTACAAATTATGTGGTTACATAACATCTTTCGTATCTAAGTTTCAGACGTTTCATACTTATATTAAGCACCGAAATATTCTTAACCCATTATTGACCCGGTGTTATGCAATACTATTGCAGGTGTGAGAACAAGTATAATTATACTGCTGTTTTCTTTATTATATATTTAATTTCTTTTAATTATAATACTCCTATTTTAGTCTGAAGATTTAAGTCGATTACGAAGACGTCGTCAAGTACCTCGGTTAAACCAAATTTCATAATAAAATTTTGAATTTGGCAACTATAACATGTATATTCTATATCTTTAATTTTATTTGGTAAATTTTATGAACCTTCTTAATACTTTTTAAAGTTGTTAATTTTATAAAATGTATATTTTATTAGAAAGATTTATTTAAGAATTTGAAAATAGATTTCTTTTTTTTTTTTTTTTTTTTTTTTTTTTTTTTTTTTTTTTTTTTATTGTCATGACGTTAATTCTCTGGTTGTGTTGATTTCTACAAGTAAACAACACGTGGTATTTCGTTTATTCAAAAAAACTAAACTTTATTTTATTTCTTACAGTAATCAATAAAACTTATAGATAAAATTTATATATTGATGAAGGAAAACAACAGCAAGTTTTCCTATGCTGACGCTCGGCGTTTCTGAACCGAAGCAGCGTTTTAAAAATACTTTTAAAAAGAGGTTACTGTAGGTGTACCAACTACATCCAGCGCTAATTTATTTCAACAAATGATTTTTATCTCAGTTTATGAAAAAGTGCTGATGTTCTGAATAACTTAATTTGATGGAGTTTTAAATATAGGATATTTTTTCTTTAATTGTATGTCAAGTTTACTAGAAGACTGTTCTTGTAGAATATAAAACTCTTTTGTAAAGTTTTTTCATTTGAAAAAAAATCTTTTTTTTTTTTTTTTGTGCTGGATCTGCCATAGGAATGTCTGTTTTTAAAACAATGCCCTGTGTCTGTTTACTATTGCTGGGAACCATTGTAAAAAGGTTTTGTCTAACGCCCGCTATTCCGAGGTTACTAAATATCTCAAAAATTAAAGATTCTCTAGAGACTTCTGGAAAATCTTTAATTGTGTCTATATAAAGAGTAAATCTTTTATTCCTTCTCTCTTGCATGGTTCAAATTTTTTTACCTCGCCTAAAAGACAAAGGCTATTGTCTATATTTTTAAAACTATATCAAAAGTGTTTTTTCAGAGTTTTGTTTTTCAGTCTATTGGAAAACATCATCTGTTAACCCCTTTTTCAAAAATTCTGGAGAGTGATTTAACTTGTCCAACTACCACCCCATTAGTCTTCTTCCCATCATAAGAAAGGTTTTCGGTTCTTTAATTAAAAAACACTTAATCTCTTATCTTGAATCTTATAACTTACTTTTTGATCATCAATATGGATTTTGATCTTCCCGTTCTACTACAGATTTGTTAACGGTAATAAATGATAGGTTTTATCGTGAATTAGATAGATGTGGAGAGGTTAAGACTATTATTATTTTAAACATTTCTAAAGCCTTTGATAAAGTTTAGCATGCTAGTCTTCTCCAAAAATTGTCTTCCAATCTTTCTTGGAAACCATATATCCAATCGATTGCAAAATCGATTGGATATATGGTTTTCAAGAAACCATATATCCAATCGATCTGCTCTTGCATGTAACCTTCAACCATTGTCACAATGTTGTAGTACTACTCTTTCTTTTCTCTTTTCTATAAATACTGTAAAGGCGCTGCTCTAAAGAGCTAGCATCTCTTGTGCCATCTATTAAAACTTTTTCTCGTGTTACTCGTCATTCAATTAAGTCTCATCCTTTTACTTTAAATGTTTCTAAGTGCTCAAAAAATTTATATTCGTGTAGTTTTTTTCTCGAAAATCAGTTTTTTGGAACTTGCTCTTTTCATCTTGCTTTCCTGATTCATATAATTTGCAATTTTTTTAGTTATCTGTTAATCATTATCTAGCTTTATAAACTTCATCTTTTCTCTGGCTGGTGGTTGCTTGCAGCCTTGTTGAAAATAAAGATGTTTAAAATAAAAATAAAAAAGTTCTATTAGCTTTTTTTTGTTTTATATATAGATTTTTTGATGCTTACCCAAGCAGTAATATCATAGCTTATGAAGCTATGAATATAAATCTTTTAAACATTTTTTACTTAGTATAGTTTTGTTTTACAAAGTAGATGTTTTTTTTTATGCATAATGTCAATAGTTTTTTAAAAATTTTTCTTTTGATTCATCATTTTGGTTCAATCATGATTTTGCCAGTAAAGATGTTTATCAAATATTTTAATTGGTGCAAGGATTTTAATTGATCCAACTCTGTTTACTATGTTTTTTATAGTTAACCAAGGAAGTTGAAAAGGCTAGTCATTGGGCTTGCTTGCTTTTCAACTTTCTAAGCTTTGATTAGTGATGAAGTAAAATATATTTAATTTTACTGAGATTTAAAAAGCGTTTTTAAGATTTTCAAGTCTCATTAACAAACTGTAGAGAAAATTACTTTTATATTAAAATAGGTATAAAAAAAGATAAAAATCATCAGCGAAAAAAACAAAATTAAGCGTGTTTGAGGATAGTTAGATATCATTTACATAAATCAAAAACAGTAAGGGTTCAAGATTAGATCCTTGAGGGGCTTCACATCTTATTGTTTTTAACTTATTGTTTAAAACTTGTAGAAAAATAAGAAATTATTGAGCAAAAATAAAGCTAGTTTCAAAGGAGCTTCTCCAAACATTGTTTTCTACAACAAACTCCCGGTTATTCAAACCTTAGAAATGAACAAGAATTTATTAAAGTAATGGCGGTGGTGAGGAAGGAGAAAGGAGGGGGAGAAAGAGGAGGAAGGGGGAATGACCAAATATAACTAATTATTGCCCTATTTCTCTGGTCTTATAAAGGTTTTTGAAAGGATTCTTGACAACAAAATAAATGATCACTTTTCTATAAATAAATTATTAAAAACAGTCAATATGAATTAAAAAGAAAAATTCCACTGGACCTTATTCAAAAATTGAAATTAGAGAATAAAACCGAGTTAGTTAACTGGTTTATTAATCCAACTAACATTCTCCCCTGCTATGGATTTGGCATCCGGCACCATCTTGAAATAAAAAAAAACTATTAAGTCCGAAATAACATTTTTAACAACCGAGTAGCAAACGCATGAAATGTCTTGCCATACAATGTAGTAAATACTACCTCAGTGAAAAAGTTTAAAACAAGTTTAGAGCGGCATCTAAAACAATTACCATAGCACATCATTTTCCGTGGCTGCTTCAATGCTGCTATACGAACTAGCTTTGCTAGTTAATGATGAACCTACAATTCATTTTCGGTGTAACTGATAAAAAATTATGATAATAAAAAGTAAACTATTGTTTTCGCATAATTTTCACTTTTTTCAATGTCATGTAAAGTATGCAATATTTGCATACTTTACATGACATTGAAAAATTGAGTATTTAAGTTGAATTAATGCATGTCTATTCAAAATATTTCTTCCTTTATACAGTGTTACAATACTTTTTGAAACTCTGTTGTACAAAGAATTTGGTATTTTTCCCTCTGAGATTTTCATTAATGAAAACACCAAGGAAGTGTATAACTTTTAATTGCTTTATTTGAATATTGTCGATATATATTAGGGGCATATCATTTGATAAAATATCGTTGGGAACTAGTATATACTAGTATTTTTTTTTTGTGTGATAAAAACCTGACAGCTTGGAAAACAAACCCAGTTATAAAACAGAAACAAGTTAAAGGTACTGTTATTTTTACAAATTTTTGATGATGCATAGAAAATTATAAATGTGATAAATTATAAATGTGATAAATGTATTAAATGTATTATAAATGTGATAAATGTATAAAATTATAAATGTGATAAATGTATAAATTAAGAATGTATGATAATGCAAGATTGCGAGATCCTTTTCAAGTTGTCATTCGAAATGCTATAGATTGCCTAAACATTTATTAAAACATTTGAAGTGCTAAAAATTGTAACAACATTTATTGAAAATAGCAGAAATGTGCACAAATATTGGCGCAAAAAACGGTGAAAATAAAATAAAAACAACTTTGGTAAAACTTTGAGATAATCTGATACATAAAGAGATTTAATTGACTAAACTAGCTTTAGTCAATTAAATCTCCTGATAAAGCCGAGTGATAGTGGTGCATACTTCATTTGTGCACAACAAGCTGTTGAGAAAATTTATATTCAATATGTTTAATTTATACTAATTTATGCAGAATTTTCGAGAGCATCATTCTTGCGATGGATGTATTCAACAACTAATTGAAAAAGAACGTGAGATTTTGACATAAATCAATAACAGAAGTCTATGAAATAAGACAGCAAAATTGGCTGTGTTTCTATTACGAGACACTTTGTTCACAAAACCGAAATAGATACTGCTGGAGAAGTAAATAGGTTTAAAACTTCAATTTAGAGTTTTAAACCTTTATTTAGTTTTTTCTATTTAATTCTCTATACATTGATTTGTGGTTGTTTTTCTGTTACTTTTTATTTATGAAACTAGGTTTTACTGTTTGTCTAAATTATTAACTGGATATTCCAATTTGATTAATCAATATTATTTCATCATACTCTACCAAAAATAAACATTTGTAGTAGAATCTTATCTAATATATTTATAAAAAACTATACAAAACCGGCTACTTCGCATTTTAAGAAAGTACTTGCGCAATAAGTATTGAAGTTGGAATTGAAGATAATAAAAATATTTCATATTAATTAAGAAAATTAATATGAAATACTTTTTTTTTGTCGGAAAAAATAGTGTTTTTAATCAGCCTTTGTCTTTCCGTTCGGTTGCGCAGTTGCAAGTCCTGTTGTAAAGATAGTCTTGGTTTGAACAACGAAAAGATAGTTTGGTACAGAAAATCCATCAACTTCTAAAAAATACCAATACAGCGAGTGAACACCCCTCAGTTCGATAAACCGGGAATCTATTTTGCTTTTACTAATTGTGAACATAAATATGAAGCATTTTGTTAATTAAATATCTTTTTCTTTTTTAAAAAAACAACAATATTTGTTTCGTTTTTGTTTAAATATAATTATTATAACTATACATTAGTTTCCAATTTCTTGAGAATTTCTTCATCTAGTGACGATACAGTCTCAAAAAACACTCCAATGCTATAAATAATAGTAAAAAAAAAGATTCACAAAAATCTTTTTAAATCGTTAAACCGATTAAAATTGTTAAATAAAATAAAAAAAACTACTAATTAATAAAAATCAACTTAAAATAAAAAAAAAATTGTTTAAAAGTATACCTGCTAAATGCTGAAACGGTTTCCTTAACTTTTGTGGGATGACAGCATAACGCGGTAGTTGTAAACGACGCATCAAATAACTTGGTAAAGTAAGTTTCGCCAACACGTTTTAAATCATCTGCTGTTACGGACGATATCTTTGCGATTAAATCACTAAAAAATTTTTTCAGGAATTTAAATAAAACACAATGACATCACAAACAAAATGATGAACTAATGTACCATTTAGCTACTAGTGAATATATTAAACTAATCTACTAATATGCTATGTTATCTTATGATATGCTATCGATTTTATGTTATCTTATGATATGCTATCGGTTTTTTCATTAACAGTTTGCATGAATCTTATTAATAAAATGAGTTAAAATTATCAGCCCTAAAAAACTGAGAGCATTCAACAACACAAATATATCCAGATTTTTGTGCGACGTTATTCAATTTTTGCGCTAAAGTATCCTAAAAAAATTTAGAGTGTGGCTTGTTGATTGTGAAAAAGTTTGTTTAATAAAAAAAAAAATCAGTTAAAAAACAAACTTTAAATTAAAGCAAATTTTTTTAATTTTGAATGTTTCCATAGGCTATAAAAAAATAACTATGTTATAAGAAAATTAAAAAAACAACTTAAAATCAGCTGGTAAAATATTTGCTATTAAAGAAATAAGTCCAAAATTAGAGATTTGTTTTTAAATTAAAACGTTAAAAATTAAACGTTAATAATTGGTTGAATTAAAATAAAAATTACCGATGAAAAGTCGATGGGATTTGTTTGAACTCTGCTAATATGGCCTAAATCATAAATTGAATTATTTTTTTAAATTTAAAATATTTAATAATCAAATAAATTTTTCAACAAATTTTACAGGAATACAATAAAATGATATATATGTATATGTATGTGTATATACATATACACTAGTGATCAAAAGTTTAGACTCAGAAAAAAAATCTCTTAAGCTTAGCTCTGAAAATGCTAAAAAAAATTTATTAAGATAATGCTTGAAATTTTTTTTTTTAATTCAACTTATTTAGTTTGTTTCTAACATAATTACAAAAAACACACACCTTTTATTTTATATATTGGTCTTTTTTTTTATTTTATAATAATAGCGCTATTTAAAAACAAATAAAATGTGTCTCATAAATTTAGACTCACTTTTTCTATCTTTATTTCCATATAAGTGCTTAACCTTTTTTTTTAAAGATTGTAATTCTAACATGGATCAAAATATATTTTCTAAAATATTATGTTTAAATCCATTTAAAAATTAAATTATTTACTAACTTAGTGCACGCTAATCAAAATATACAATTTTTACTCATTATTTGCATTTAAAATATTTAGAAAATGGGTAAAACATCAGTATCAAAAGAAATCAAAGAAAGAATTATCACCTTGCACCTTGCTGGTAATTCTACAAGAAAAGTTCAGTTGATTCTCAAGAACGTATCACAGTCATGTGTCACTAAAACAATAGCTAAGTGGAAAAAAACAGGTAGCACATTAGATAAAATCAGATCCGGAAGACCCAGAAAAACAACTACCACTGATGATAATAGTATATACAGAATTGCCAGAAAAAATCCTAAGTATAGTGCCAAACAAATTGCTCAAGAAATAAATCTAGCTCTTAAAAATGACATCTCAAGGCAGACAGTAAATAGAAGATTAATTGATCGTAAACTATGCTCGTATACTGCTGCTAGAAAACCAATGCTTAAAAGATCAGATCGACTCAAACGGCTACAATTTTGCAAGAAAATTCTTAAGATGAGTGATAGTGATATAAAAAAAATTGTATTCAGCGACGAATCGAATTATGCAGTCGTTAATCGAAAAAAAAGAGTAACTGTTCGAAGACACCATAATGAGAAGTTTCATAATCGTTTCATTGTACCTCGGTTACAGGGCGGAGGAGGTTCAGTTGGGATCTGGGGTTGTATCACGTATGATGGACCCGGACTATGCTACTTGTACACTGGTAGAATGGATCAATACAGATACATTGAGACGCTTGAAAATAATTTGATTCCAACAAGAGACTTATTTTTTGGAGATGAGCCAGAATGGAAATTTCAGCAAGATAATGCCCCTTGTCACAAAGCAAAAACAGTAACAGCTTGGTTTAAAGAAAATAAAATCAATTTACTCCAGTGGCCAGCTAGATCGCCAGATTTAAATCCAATGGAAAATGTATGGTCTGTGCTTGATCGAAAACTGACCAAAGCTCCTGTAACTTCAGCTGAAGAACTACGAAAAAGTTTAAAAGAGTTGTTTGATGGCTTGTCCTTTGAATATTGTCGAAATCTTTTTGAATCTATTAAAAGAAGATGTAGACTTTGCATATCTAACAAAGGCGGTCACATACCTTATTAACTTGACTTACAGTTTAAAGTGAAAAGTCCTGAGTCTAAACTTATGAACAAGATTTTTATAGATATCTTTTTACATGATTTTGCTATTTTCAAAATAAAATACTTTAAACTTGTTTTTCTTTTCAAGTCTTTTATATATATTAAAGAGAATTTCATAAATAATAAACTGGATTAAAAATAAAATTAAAAACAAAACAAAAAAGGCATTTTTTTAAATCACAAATGACTAAGAAACTATAAGTTTTATTCTGAGTCTAAACTTTTGATCACTAGTGTATATATATATATATATATATATATATATATATATATATATATATATATATATATATATATATATATATATATATATATATATATATATATATATATATATATATATATATATATATATATATATATATATATATATATATATATATATATATATATATATATATATATATATAAAATAGATTTTAATGATACTACCTGCGATACAGCGTTACCAATGGTTGTTTCTCCTTCTATAATTTGAAATATTGCTCCACTCCTTGCAGCTTCAATACAACCATAGTCAAAACAAATCCTTCCTGATGTAAAATCTTCCTTAAAACCCAAAATATATTCTTAAAAACCTTTTTATGTAGAAACAAAATACAAAAATAATACATCAAAATTATAATTATAATAATGGTAATTATTAATCAAAAGTGGCCGATTCAAACATTTTTTGATAAACGAACAGTTTTAAATGGATTTTGCATTGTGAAATGGTTTTTTTTTTTAAATATATATCTTGATATTTGGAAACCACTCTTTTAATTGTATAAAAATATTGAAAATATTGTTTAGAGATAAAAAAATCCTAAAGCAAATTTATTAACTAATTTACAATAGTTATTGAATATATTTGTATCTTGTATATGCTATATACAATAAAATATAACTACACTAAAAAACTTGCAACATCGCCCTTGAAGATTTGATGAGTCCTTAATATAATCAAAAAGAATATTCTTAAAAAACAAACTGGTGAACGATCATTAATTGCAAAAAACTTACAACAACTTCTTTTGCCTTTTTGTAAGCATTAAACACATGAGTTGATTTTGAAAGAATAAAAGTTAATGTTCCAACAGCAGGAGCGCAATGAATGGCATAGTTATAGGACAAACCCAAACCACGAATCTGACGCCAGAGTGGTCCCTGAAGAGAGAGAAAAAAATTTAATGTATTAGTTTAATATTTTTCATATTTAGAATAACAAAATATTAACTTCAAATTGTAAACCAGGGGTGTGGAGTCGTAAGAAAAAAAGTACTGACTCCGACTCCAAGTGTTGAAATTTTTAGAGTATGAACTCAGACTCCAAAGCAAAATTTTTGAAAAATTCTTTGATATCTTTAAAAAATATTACGCGATAGTTTGAAATTTTTTTTTTGAAGTTAAAATTTTTGTTTAGTGACTTTGACTCTGACTCCACAGCCCTGTTATAAAAATTTACCTCCAGACCACATAAATATTCTATAAAAACCAAAATAACAGGATAATCTGGATGATCATATCTATCAACTGCTGTGCTTGATTGGTAAAGAAATGCTGACTCAACGCTTCCAACACCAATAATTTTTTTCGCCAGTTGGTTTGATTTAAAAATAGAATCTTGTTGGACTTCTTTTAAACTAAAAATGTTTAAATATTTTAATAAACAAATATTATGTATATAAATAATACTTATTTACTTATTATATATATATATATTTATATATAATATACATTTTATATTACATATACAACATATATTTTATATTACATATACAACATATATTTTATATTACACATACAATATATATATATATATATATATATATATATATATATATATATATATATATATATATATATATATATATATATATATATATATATATATATATATATATATATACTCTTGCATGGTAGTCAGAAAGAGTTTCCCATAAACTGTAGTTTTAAAGAGCGCGTTAATAAACAAGACCAGAAAAAGTTTAAAAACTTAAATTTTTTTTTTTTTTTAAATGATAGACTGCCTGCCCAAGCCAAACCTTCAGTCGATGTAGCAGCACTCCCTTGCGAGTCAGGCTATTTGTCAGTCGTTGTAGCAGCACTCCCTTGCGAGTCAGGCTATTTGTCAGTCGATGTAGCAGCACTCCCTTGCAAGTCAGGCTATTTGTCAGTCGATGTAGCAGCACTCCGTTGCGAGTCAGGCTATAAGGTAGTCAATGTAGAAACACTCCTTTGTAGCAGCAGGCTATAAGATAGTCGATGTAGCAACATTTACGCATGTTTTAAAAATGTTTTTTAATAAAACAAAAACAAAAACACCACTAATTAAAAAAAACTTTGTAGTCGTTATTATTGCGGTTTTTTAAAAAACTTTCTAAAAACAATAAAATTTAATGTACTTCCGCATTAATTTAATTGCTTTGACATTTCGACGACAATCAAATACAACTTAAGAGACGAGGTAATTAAAATTGTAGTCGAAAGAGACTTTTTTTACATTAAAAGACTCTTTCGACTACACTATAAGGATATATATATATATATATATATATATATATATATATATATATATATTTGTATGCATAAGATTAAATAAAATAAATAAAATTAGAAATTATTATAAATATATGAATTATGTTAAATAAAAACAAATAACTTGATAATGCTTGTATTTACAACTTTAAGTTTCATGCTTAATGTGACCATTAAGTAAAAAAAAAATCATAATGTTTTTATAACCTAATTATTGCAGTTATCAAGTGATAGAACTTCCAGCTCCAAGAGATTTGAAATTCAAATCCAGGTTCAAGATCAATATTACCTAATGATATTATATAATTTTGTCACATATTTACAACCAACTTAACCTGGTAGCTTTTAAACTATTAAAATTTTCAGATAGTATGGTCAACAGACAATTAATTGTACACTTCATAAGAGATTATTTAGTTTTGTGTTATGCGTTCATCACAAAACTTCAAAACCCAAGAACTTCGTTTCACTTTTATTTTTCACTTATGACCTGGTTCAACAAACTGTTAAATAGTTATTTACAAAAAAATTTAAATATATAAAAAAATGTAAATATATTAGCTAAAATAATATTAAATATATAAACTAAAAATATGTGTAAGCATAATATTCATTTAGAATGCTGCACAAAGCAAGAAGTTCTCAGTTCAACCCCTACCTCATCCCTGGTAGTAATGTGCTCAACTTGTTTCTCTGCTGCGCAGAGAAACAAATTGACATAGATGTGAGAAGATTGTGACCAACAGATGCAAGAGGGTGGTGACCATAATAAAAAAGTAACCTCTTGGACTGTAGTGGCCCCTTGGCTTTGGTGAGGTAAATAACAAAAATAAAATCATAACGACATAACGACCTTATAATAGTAATCAAACAGTGAGCTTTAAACAATAATAAAAGCACATTAGATATCACCACATCTCTGAATCGCCTAAGTCATTTTTTTATGCTTCGAGAAAACTCAAAACAAAAAACTGAAAAAAAAATTTATATTTTATCACATCACAATGAACCAAATGAAGCAACTATTTTCCGATTATTATTAGATAGATGTTTTGTTGTATAACAAAAGTAAACTGTACATTTCAAACATCAACTTAAAACTCCCCTGAAAATATGTGAAATGATCGTATATTAGATATAAAACAATTCTTATTAAAAAATAAAGGTAAACTATTATTTAAAATACCTGTCTAAAACAGTTGGTACATCTTTAAAAAACATGTCTTGCCATATTATATTTGGATTTGCAGGTAAAGAATTAATATTACTAACAACATATACTCGAAAGTTTGATGGTGTCAGTAGCAATGCTCTCAAATTTTCAAAGTCATTGATCACCTGATTTGTAAAAATTCAAATAGTTCTCATTTTTCTTTACAGTTTTATGTTACACAAATATATAATTATTTATATAAACATAATATTATAAACATTTAAATTTATATAAACATAATAATATAAGCATATATAATAAAACTAATATTACACTGTGTATTTAAATAAAGCATATATAATAAAACTATAATATAAGCATATATAATAAAACTATAATATAAGCATATATAATAAAACTAATATTACACATTGTATTTAAATAAAGTGCACTACCACAACCAGCACTTTATTTAAATACAATGGTTTAACAGTTATCTAATATACTATAATAAACCTAAACTAACAGTTACCTAATATACTATAATAAACATACACTAACAGTTACCTAATATACTATAATAAACTTATACTAACAGTTACCTAATATACAATAATACACTTACACTAGCAGTTACCTAATATACAATAATACACTTACACTAACAGTTACTTAATATACGATAATACACTTACACTAACAGTTACCTAATACACTATAATATACTTACAATAAAAGTTACCTAATATATTATAATATATTGACACTAACAGTTACCTAATATACTATAAAAAAATTACATAAAAGTTACCTGATATACTTTAACAAACTTATTTTAAATTTTGCTATTATCTTTATTGAAAACTACATCTTAAAAAACCAGAGTAAAAAAAAAATTATAGAATGGGAGAGGAAAAACTTTCTTCCATTTCCAATACTCAAAACAAAAAAATATAACTTGATAGTTCAACGTCATGGGTGGTGGCTGGAAACAAGCAGTGAAGAGAATAAAGTAAGAAATTCAGTTTATTATAGAAATTCATGATAATCTAGTAAAGTTTCTTTTGTTTATATATCAAATTAGGTTTAAAAATTTAAAAAGAAGATTTCCAAATATATTGAATAAAATTAAATCAATTAAAAAAGGTTTATGGTAAAGGTTTTCTATAAAGCATGTTTCTAAACTATTATGCCGAAAAACAAATAAAAAACAGCTGTTGTTTAACAAATACATCTGTAATCAATAATTTATAACATAACTTATAATTTTTTGAAATGTCTGTTTTTAAGAAAATTCTCCATTAGAACTTAATACTGATTAGTTTTCTAGAATATTCTTAAACTGCTAGAACTGTAAAAAAAGTCTCTTTGAGAATTTTATTCAACTATATAGACTTTCAAGAAACTTTTAAAACTTTATAGAATGTAAAAAATAAGGATCAAGACAAGTAACATACCCAAAAAACATTTAGTTAAAAAAACATTTTTGAAGGTGTTGCAATTGAAAAATGTTTCACATATACCAATGTTTAACAAAAAATATGTTTAATAAAAAACATCATACAGTATCTTCACATTACTTAATACTGAATAAATTTATAATTTATTATTATTATAAAATATTATTATTTTACTATAATATATTGGGGACAACTGAATAAGCGCAAACTTCATAAGTGCAAACTGGCATAAGTGTGAACTGATGTAAATGCAAACTTGCATAACTGCAAACTGACATAAGTGCGAAGCATTTCAAAAACTGGCATAAGTGCAAACTGGCACATTTGGGAATTGCCATAAGTGCGCTGAATTAATTTACAAACATTTGCATAAGTGCAAAGCAGTCAAAAAAACTGGCATAGGTACAAACTGGCATAAGTGCAAATTGACATAAGTGCGAAGCAGTTGCAAAAACTGACATAAGTGCAAATTGGCATAAATGTGCTGAACAAATTTCCAAACATTGGCATAAGTGCAAATTAGCTTTAGTGAAAACTAGCATAGATACAAAGCAGTTGCAAAAACTGGTGTTTGTGCGAACCAGCATAAATTCGAACTGGTATAAGTGCGCCAAACAAATTTCCAAATGTTGGCATAAGTGCGAACTGGCATATATGCAAATTTGCAAAAGTGCAAAATGCCAATTTGCATTTATGTTAATATTTTCAATTTTATTCACCGCACTTATACAAGTTCACACTTATGCCAGTTTTTGCAACCGCTTTTTTTTAACAGTTTTTGCACTTATGCTAATTTTTGCAAATCTATTTGGTGCACTTATGCCAATTGGCATTTATACCAGTTTGCACTTATGCCAGTTTTTGTAACTGCTTTATACTTATGCCAGTTGGCACTTATGCCAATGCTTGCGAATTTGTTCTGCTTTTATGCCAGTTCGCACTGATGCCAGTTTTTACAACGCTTTGCACTTATGCCAGTTCACACTTTTAATATTTCAAAGTTACACTGTTTCACAACAGAATTAACTACCCAACTTCTGCATTTTAAAGAAAATTACACTTATGTCAAGATTTTGTTGAGTGTCTTGAAATACAACAACAATGGATTTTGTTGCTGTTTTAAAAACGAGTTAGTATCTTTTGAGTATCTCCATAAAATCTATTTCTAATATAAAATACCTTTGCTTTGTTACAACAATATTTCATCTTTCCAGAAAGCTAATACATTCAAGAAAATTAGTAATAGATATAAGATTTATGTTATTAATTTTAAGTTGAAAAATTTATAAATTTTTATTAAAATTTTTTTTTTTAAAAGTGGTAATAAATTGAAAATTACACTCATAATATTTGTCCCCTGCAAATTTTTAAAAATATGTTATGTTTTTAAGTTGTTTTTTGATTCTAAAAACAATGAAAAAGTTATACAAAGTAATTGTAAATAAAAAAATTTAATATGATCTTATAAATAGGTGGAAATCAAATAATAATTTTTAACTTTTTTTATGTATTTAAAATAGTTTCAACTCTTATTATGTATTTAAAATTATTTTATTTTTTTTGTCTTATTTTACTATAAACTTTTTATAACTATATTAAATATTAGTTTATCTTGATGCAAACGATATTTTACAGGTTATTATTATCAAGACTATTATTAGTTGTCTTGGAAACAACACAACTAATAACATTTTGATATGGAAATAATCTTTTTTAAACAATAGAAATAACCCTTTTTTTTTTGTTTCTTAACTTTTTAAAAAAACTTTCAAACCTTTCAAACTCGTGTTGTTTCATTATGCAAAATAAACTAACCTTGTCTGGACTAGTTTCAATATTTTTCAACAACTGTGTTAAAAAATGACCCTGCGTAACCATATTATTCATTGATATGTTGTTACCTATAATATAAATTTAAATTAAAATTACAAAAATATTTTAAAAATAGAAGATAAAAAACAAATACCAATGTAGAAAAGAGGCTGCAGAGTAGCAAAGTACCAACGTAGCTGCAGAGTAGAAAAGAAGTAGAATATAATAAGCAGTTTAGAAGTAAAAAGTGACAGAAAAAAGCAAAGGATTGTTTTTGAATTTGATTAAAACTTTTAACTGCAGAAATAGTTTTGCATGTTTAGGATTTAAATTTTTTATTCGATAGACTTTTTCCTAAAAATATTTTGATTAGGAAAAATTTGTTTAAAAAAACAAAAATAATATAAAAGTGAATAAAACCTTTTTTATAGATCATATCTTTAATTAAAGTTCGAACAACTTTGCTTCCATCTCTCTTAGAACTAACAAAATCAATTAATCAATAAAGCAACTGTTTAGATTAAAACTTTGTATTCTATATTAAAATTATGTATATACTTTAGTAAAATTATACACACCTTTAATAAAATTAGGCATATCTATAATAAAATTATGGATATCTATAATGAAAGTATGCATATCTATTGTAAAATTATGCATATCTATAGTAAAATTATACACATCTTTAGTAAAATTAAAAAACTTTGTATTTTCAATTATCCTTCAGCCATGTTCAGAAAAAAAGTTTAACTTCATAAATTTTACATATGCATAGGTGGTGCATAGATGTTTGAATTGCTGCATCAATAACACGCATCAATAACACATCTCTGAATTTACTTCAAAAATTATTGCAGGATATAGATACAGGTTTATTTATTTAAATTTTTTTTAGCACTAAATGTTTACATTTTTTGAGAATAACTTTTCTTTACATTTTTTGAGAATAACTACATTTAAATAAATTAAAATAATAACAATATTAAAAAACAAATTGCAGACCATTTAATATTTAATTTACAAAAACATAAAAAGAATTTTTTTTTTTTTAATCATTTAAATTGTATATTGGGTGTAGTAATTGTTGGGGTTCTGAAAATTTTTTTTGCTAACAATCAGTCATTCTGTAGTTTGCACACACAGTCAAGCACACACATAGTCAACATGTTTTAAATATTAAATACTAAAAAAGTTTTAAAAATGTATGTTATAAAACTTTTCAAAAATATTTCACTTCTAAAATGTAAAAAGCAAAAATAAATTTACTTAGCAACAGCATTTAAAACAAAACTTACTTAGCAACGCCATTCAGAATTTTATTTGCTACCACCTTCAAACGTTCTGGAGCAAACTGCAAGTTATAAAGAATATCTCGAAGCCATTCAACACCTTTTGTATATTTTTCATTCTCAACCTAAAAATGAAAAACATTTTAAAAATATTTATAAGATATATAAAATATGAAAAACATTTTATAAGATTATTGTAACTGTTTAGTTGCAAACTTATTTATTTTGCTTTAATCAAAAAATTTATTATTAGTGTATTATAATAAATTTTTTGATTAAAACAAAAGAATAAATGAATACCAAGAAAAACTAACTTTTATATTTTAGTCGAAGTTCCCCTACTCCGTTTTATTGTAGGCCTAAAAGTCAGCATAATATATGTCGCGATCTACAGACTTGATAATTTATTCATGTGGGTTTTATGGCTAGGAGTTTTAGTACATGATGCCATTGTTTTTTTGTTTGTTTGCTCAAGAGATCGATTATGTAAACAAACAAGTTAGTGACATCATGTACTAAAACTCTTATGAATAAAACACGCTTGAATAAATTATCAAGTCAGTAAATTGCGGCGTATATTATGCTGACTTTTAGGCCTAGAATAAAACGGAGTAGGGGAACTTCGACTAAAATATAAAAGTTAGTTTTTCTTGGTATTCATTTATTCTTGTCAAAATTCTTTTAATCAAAAAAATTTAGCCCAAACATTTTTTTTTTTATTATTTTATATCAATTAGTCTCTCATGATTTAATTTAGTTTTAAGTAACATTGGTTTACTAAACACTGGTTTATTAAACATACTTATTTTTGTATTTACAGTAGTAAGAAATTAAAAACAGATCACAAGATTTTTAATGTTTATTTGTTATAAACAGTAGTAATACTACTCTCAGTATGCTTCATGATAATAGTGAAATTAAAACAAATGATATTGATATAATTGATAATAAATGATATTGGGCTTAAAAAAGTTATTAGTGTTAATGCAACAGATAACTTAAAAATAATCATTGAAATGAAAAAGATAGAAGAATGCAAAATTATCAAAATGTAAGAAATGCTGCTTGGCAAGCAGAAATTAATTTGAACCCTAATGAGGATAAAGTTAATAACTTTTTTCCAATCGGGAGAAATAGAGCTAGACGAGATGAAATTAACCATGAAAGTAATCTATGAAGTGTATGAAATGCAGACAAGGAAGAATGCATTGAGAAGCAAGCGGTATAATGCCTTTAAGTATGATAAATCAGATCTTTTTATTACCTTAACCTGCAACCCCAAATGGCGCAAGATTACTACAAATTTATATTCAAGACAGGCTGCAAATGATAAACCTGACTTAGTTACTAGAGTATCTAAACTCAAATTAGATAATCTCCTAAATGATATTTTTAGACATGGTGCATTAGGGACAATTATAACTCATATTCTGGTTATTGAATTTCAAAAGCGTAGTTTGCTACATGTTCATAATTTTACTATATTTTGCAAACGATAAGCTGGGTTATGCAATGGCACTCAAATGAAAGTCTGTTCTCTTCAAAATAAATATTGATGTAGAGGTTTTGACAGGTGTTTGTGGTGATAAACAGGTCTTTGTTCCTTGAATTCAGTTTGCTCCATCAGATTCTAAATTACCTTTTGTTCTGAAACAATGTCAGTTTCCTGTTAGATTGGTTTATTTAAAGACAATTAATAAGAATCAAAGTCAAACATTTGATAGAGTTAATGCATATCTAAAAAAACTGTGTTTCTCTCATGGACAATTTTATGTTGCATGTTCAAGAACTAGAACATGTTATAGTTTGTTTTGATAAACATTTTATTCAAGGTATGGTAGTTTTCAACTACAATACCTTTATTGTTACTTTGTTACGCTGTTATAACTGATTTTAAATAATTATTAGTGATATAATCAATAGCCAATTGTGTAGAGCAAGGTTGTAAAACTAGCCACGCAAGAGCTGTGACTTGCAGTGTGTGTAAAGCTAGGCTGTTAAACTAGCCAGGCAAGTGTTGCGACTTGCAGTGTGTGGAGCTAGACTATTACTATCCTGCTATTTTTTATAACTAAAATTCTATTAAAAAAAAAGTAAAATAATGTAGAGCAAGATTGCCACTTTTGTCAGCCAAGCGGTATACTTAGCAGAGGTGTGACAACAGATGAATAGCAGGACAGAAGTGTTACTGTTGTATATCTAGGTTCTGTTGTCTATTCTTTCATACTTACATAGAAAACACATGCATGTTGATATATAGTATAATGTAATCTGATTATACTAATATATTATGCTATTTGCTATTGCTCTGTGCAATTGTACTTTGTTGCAATGTTTTGTGTTGATAGACAGCTTTGCTCACCTTTCAGTTAGTGTCTTTCATTAAAAATGATTATATGTAGTTTCATTAATCTACCTAACTGCTTTTTATCTAGATATTAAAAGATAACATTTTATATTACTCTAATCTAATTACTTAAATCTCAAATTTTTTTTTATTTGATAGTTTTATTAGTAATTTTGCTCTTTGAATAAGATTGAATGTTGGTTTTTCATTAAAGAAATTTCAAAATCGATCCCGTAGCCAAAATATTTTCATAATAAAGTAATTTTTTTAAATCAGTAATAAATATTATTAATTATTATAATTTGGTTTTCTTTGTGATAGGCTGTGTCAGGCCACAGTCCTGTAGATAACGGCTGTTATAACTGATTTTGAAAAGTATGTTCATTACAAAAGATGTGCTTTAACATTAATTGCTTTAACTTAAATTTCTTTAACATTAATTTAAATTTCTTTAACATTAACATTAAATTTCTTTAACATTAATTGCTTTCAAAAAAAATTGACAAATGTTGTATTTTATTTTTATTTTTTTGTTTTTTTTTGTTTTACTAAATATTTAACTACATATCATTATATGTTTTAAATAAATTTTAAATAAATTTGTTTTAAAGATATATAAATTTAAGACTTTCTGTTTTTATGGATTTGTTAAAAGGTGTTTTGTGAACACAAGTTTAAATATACATTTTTTGAAATAAATCTGTGTTCTAATCTTTTCAGCCCATTACTTATACAAAATTAAGAAAAATTTCGATTAAAACTAATAATTTTAACACAAAGACTAAGGCATGGCAAAATATATTTCGGATACTTTTTGCTAAATAATTTCCACATTAGTAAAATATGACTTGGATAAATGCTGAACTAATATATGATTGGCATACGTTTACAGCTCTAAGGTTGATATATTCGTTTACCGCACTTTTATTAATTTTTTTAATTTCTGCTGCATTATTAAATTAAATAAAGATAAGTAATGAACTAGAACAAAGCTTTAAAGCTTATAGTTAAAAAGACACACACACACATGTAAACAAAGGCTTTGATGTTATAGTAGCCAAAAGATTCAAGTCAACTTATATATATATCAACTTTGTTATGCTATATGCCATATGCATAAAATGCTTGAGCAATGCAAAAGGTAACATTAATTTAGATCTCTAATGAAGCTACGATCATTACTTTCTACAATTTTCTGCCATTGAAAATGAGAAAAAAATAAGTGGGAGGTGTGAATCAGATCTATCATAACCCATTTTATGGGTCCAGACTTTTTAGTAACAAATAATCAAGTTAAGAAATAAAGAAAAAACATTTTACATTAAATCAACTTTAGAAATACAAAAGCACACACAAAAAAATAGTATAGTAAAAAAGACCCAAAAAATCTATGATTATAGGGGTAATTTTATTTGTCTATAAAATAAAGTCTTATAGAACCTTAGCAGTAAAGAATGCTAAAATTAATAAACCTGTAAGCTGGGATTGAGATTTTTACATTTTAAATTTGCCAACTGCACTCTTCAAAATAATATATAGATTTTATATAAAGTTTGACGCTTTAACCTGTTCGCACACCTTGTCTCATGTTTGTTTATTTTAAATATTGGTTAATCTATGCATATATATTAGGGTGTCCCAAATAACAATATTTTTGAAAAATATATGCAGAGACCCTCTTGATGTTTTCTACATGATAAAATAACATTGGACTTAAAATATTTTGAATAAAAAATATTTCTAGGGGTCCCCCAAGACTCTTGAACATCAGATGGGTCCATATAATTATCAAAAAAAATAGTTCTTCAAAAGTATATCATGTTGGGTCTCAAAAGAAGTGAAATTATATAAAAATTTTAAAAATAAGTATAATCATTTTATAAAAAAAAAACATAGCTAAAAAAAAATTATAATCAAAAAATCTTGTTAAATATTTATTTTTTGTTTTTAGTTAGAAAACATTTTCTTTTCACTAAAATCTAAAATAATAATTTTTTAATGAAATAATGATTATTTTTGAAGTTTTAATATAGTTTCGCTTTGAAAACCCAACAAGATATACTTTTGAAAAATATTTTGCTTAATAATATTAGGGACCCATTAAATGTTCAAGGGTTTTGGGGGACCCCTAAAAATATTTTTTATTCAAAACATTTTGAAATCCAGTGTTATTTTATCATATAGAACACATTAAGGGGGCTCTGCATACATTTTCAAAAATGTTGTTATTTGGAACACCCTAATATATAATAATAATAATAATAATAATAACAATAATAATAATATACATAATTTATAGCAAATGCTTAAACATTTGCAAGCAGGGCAACTAACGAAGCCCTGCTATAATAAATATCAATTCATTTTTTTTTTAATTAAGAGTTTAGGAAAAAATTCAAGTTCATTTTTTTTATTTCAGCAGTTGTTAACTTTCTTGTCAAAGAATATGGCTTTACACTTGTCCTTGTTAAAACTCATGCTCAATGTGTGAAGCATGAGTTTTAACAAGGATAAGTGTAAAGCCATACCTATTTAACTAGGCAATCAAGTGTAAAGCAGTGCCTATTTAACTAGGCGATTGATGTCCTCTTGGAGAAGCTGGTAGTCAGAGGTGTCTTTGATAACAACTATTAGTTCTGTATCATTGGCAAATAGTTTACAGCAGTGATGAGTAAGGCTTGGCATATTGTTGATGAAGATAACAAAGAGAAAAGGTCCGATTACAGAACCTTGCGGAACTCCACTTAGGACATCCAATCAATCAGAAATGTAGTCACTTGTGTTAAAGCCATATGCACGTAGTTTGACAAGTAGAAGCAAGTGACTAACCTTATCAAAAGCTTTAGCAAAACCAAGAAAGACCATTACAATTTCAAGACAAGATTCAAGCGCATTAGATATAATGGAGAAAGTCTCAATTAAATTTGTCATGCACGATCTGTGAAGAACAAAACCATCTTGATTATTGTCAAGCAGATTACAGTCAGTCTTATGCTTGAGCATGGGGTCACTAAGCGTTCCATCAGCTTGCATAGAACAAAGGTTAGAGAGATTGGGCGGTAGTTAGCTGGCTTTGTCTTGAAACTTTTTTAAAAATTGGTGTGACATTGGCTTGCTTTTAGTAAGCAGGAACATCTGCAGCAATGAAAGAATTTGTGAAGACCAAAGAGAAAGGAAGTGCTAACACTGAACGAGCTTTTGAAAGGATGAAAGGATGGAGCCCATCAATACCTGGTGGTTTGTGTTTGTCCAGTTTAGAGAAAAACAATTTGACAGCAGCTTGAAAGAAATTTATTTATAGTGTGAATTGTATTGGTGCGTGGTTGGAGAACAGGAGCATCACCAGGAAGATCAAGATATATACAGAGAAGAACTGTTTGTTTAGCAAGTTGCATATCTCAGTTCTGCTTGATGTTAGCACACTGTTTCCATTCACAAGAGCTCTTATATGGTTTTTGCAGTTTTTGGCCTTGTTAACTAAGTCATAAAAAAGTCTAGGGTTATCTTTGCACTTGCTTATGATGTCCTTGTGTGCAAAGAGCTTTATAAACAAGTCTTTAGATTTTCTGTGAAGCTTTGTTAAACTCTGGCTTTACTAGGTGTTTTTGGTCTCAGGGTGCTGCAAGAAGTCGGGCAAAAATAGCAGATTTCTGTTTTGATGCTTGATTAATTTCATCATCAACCATTTTGGGTCTGTTCTAATTGAGAATAATTTGCGGTGAGTTGGAGTGAATGATAATATGGCGGTGAGATATACTTTCGATAGATAAGCATAACACTGGTCAACCGTCAGGTTAGCAAATTCCAGGACCCAATTCATCATGTTGAAATAGTTAATCATGCTTTTAAAGTTGGTGCGTTTGAAGTCGAGATGTTTGCCATTTTTGTCGAAGCTGCCAGAGCGGTTGTCCTTAATTATAAAATCCCAACAGAGCATAGCATGTAGATGACTTTTACGTGTACTTCCAAGAGGGGAATATATACTTGCTTTAAAGTAAGTTAAACTTATTTATTTTATATAGATTTATGATTATTTTTTTCATATATGTTGCTTATGGGTTCTGTTTGTTTTAGGTATATTTCAACTAAACAATTACTGTTGACTTGTATTTTTTCTCCTTAAAATAAAGCTGTGTTTGTTTTGAACATCTCTTCATTTTTCTTTGCTTTTTTTTTACTTATCCTCCTTTATATAAAAAGTTAATCAATAAAAATATTTGGGAATTCTCTGTGGGCTTTCATTGCTCAGTCTAGTTTAATTATTAGGTATTTACATAACTAGTCAGTATGGAAAATTTTTAATGATACCAATAAATTTCATCAATTATGCTCTTTATATTGCTGAAATTTTATTAAGTAAGGCAGTTTGCTCTTTGTTTTTATATTTTAGAAATTATGTTTGTTAGAAATATTTCTATAAAACCAAACAAATCTGTCAAATCAATATTTCCTAAATAGTTATAACAATGAGTTCTTAATTGGTTCCTTTATTAAATCAATAGAAAATTGCAGTTCTTGATTGGTTCTTTACAATAGCCATTATAATGACCATTATTGTAAGGCAAGTTGCAAGTATAGGTTTATGTTTAATAAAACACTTTAAAAGCTTTTTGTTTTAAAAATATTGACTTTTTGAAAATTTTGTTAAAAAAAAACATTATGTTAATTATGTTAATTAATTAATCTAAACCTTAATAGTAATCACTAGAAGATTTGAATAAGTTCCAGTAGAGAAACGGCAACCTTTGACACCTATCGATGCATTAGTATTAAGGGTGTCTCTATCAATTTGTTTGACGACTTCTTCATATGGAATAATAACTGCAAATAAAATAAATTAGCATGAAGTTATGATAAAAAAATTATATAATAACAAAAAATAAGATTTATCAATTCCTTTTTTATAATTTAATTCTTCTCATACCTCCATCTTTTTTTATTGGGGACTCAAACAAAATCTCTGAATACAATGGTAGTAAAATTCTGCTATCTTCAGATAAATTTGATGTGTCAATAATAGCAATTAACTAAAAAAAAAAAATAGTAACAAAAAACAAATGTACAAAATTAAAAACAAACTTAGAAAAACTAAAAACAAATCTGCAACAGTAAAAAACAAATAAGAGTAAAATTAATAAAAGTGTTTCCATTAATAATATATATAATATATATATATATATATATATATATATATATATATATATATATATATATATATATATATATATATATATATATATATATATATATATATATATATATTCTTTTTGTAGAATACATTTTAAATTGATTAAATATATAAAATAAAGATTAATAATATAAAATTAAAAAAAATGATAATGTTACCGTAGTAAAAAGTGAATTAACATGGTACACATAAAAAGCACATGGAATGCTATTTATAGGAAACATCTCTGCTAATTCTAGATTAGAAGGTGGTGCAAGGTTACAAAAACTATCAATCTGATGAAACGATAAACTTTCTGGTGATGGAATAGGCAAACTATTGATAATTTCTTTTGCAGGCTCACGCTAAAAATATAAAAGTTGAATTACTAAAAAAAAATGTATGTTTAATTAATTAAAAAAAAAAAGCCTAAACCCTTAGTTAATAAGAGCTTTTACATGAAACACCTGCAGATTTTAGCATAATATACAGTATTTTAATGTTTTATGCAAAGCTAAATTGTGGTATAATGCGTAGTAGTGTAGTGGCAGAGCGCTCACTTCATAAGCAAGAGGTTCCAAGTTCAATCTTCACCATGTACCCAGTAGTGCATTGATTGTTACATTTAGTTTATCTTAGCTACAACATACAGTTGTTTGTTGAAAAACAAAAAGTTGTCTTACCAAAACACAAAATTATTACTTTGATAAAACAACCTTGGAATATTGTTTTACTATAGCAAAAATTAACTTTAAAATAAAACGTATGCACAGAGTAAAAGTTTGTTTTTTGATAAAACAATAAATTTTTTTTACTGGATTCAGCTTCCAAGACTTTAAATTCAAGGAGGCTAAATGATGTGATTTGGTTGGAGGCCCAACTCCAACCATTATCACATCATGGTAATGTTGCTTCTCTTTCTCTTTTCTACAAATACTATAATGGGCACTGGTATAAAGAGCTTGTGTCTCTTGTGCCATCATAAAATTCATTCTCATGTTATTTGTCATTGACAAAAAAAAATTATAAACTACAAATGAAAAAATCAAAAACTTTAATAAAAAAAATCAAAAAAAAAATTAAAGGTTTTTAAAAACCTTTAATTTTTTATCAAAAATCAAAACCAAACTTTACTTTTTATTTTTTTATTTTGATATTTGTTTCATTAAAAAAATAAAAAGGTTCATTTAATTGCAGTTGACCCCTCAACTCAGAGTTACCCCTTGGCTTTGGAGAGGTAAAACAAAATCAATATAATGTAAAATGAATATAAATTATATATGAAGGTAATAACTAATTTATCTTAAATAAAAGAAAAAATCATTAAACCTCATTTTCCTTTATAGCTGCCTCTAATTCTTTTTTCATCTGCTCAAGACCTTCTGGACCTAACTGATCAGCCTGAGCAGTTAACCTCGTTTTTTCTTCATCTCCCATTTTCTTCATCAGTTCTTCACTTGGCTCACCAACAACAACCACCATTTTCTGATCGACTATATATTTTTTTAACAATTCAACCCAGAAATCTGCATTCTCTTGTTTGAGATTTTTTAAACGACCAACTTTGTTAACATATGATTGTAAATCATCATTTTCAGCTGAAAAAAGGAAATCTCCAATCACCAAATGAGATAGAGTATCATGAGGATGGTCTTCTAGCTAAAAGATCAAAAAGAATGATGATTAAGATTTACATACATATAATTTTATGAAACAAAAATAAAGATTGTCACTGTTACAACACACTTCAAATATTTTATTATTCTATAAATATTCTTTTAATTTTTTATTGACATATATACTTTTTTGCGAATTGCAATGGCTTTTCACACATTCGAGATTAGTTTTTTTTTTTTAAATATTATTTATTTATTTAATTTACCATTTTTTTTTGGCCATTCTTAAAAGTAGTGTTTTGTTTACTGAATGAATAAAGTACATCACATTTTATTTTTATTTTTAATTTAGTTTACAGTTTACCTGTAAACTAAATCAAAACAACCAGTTACTACTGTAACTTACAGTTATTCAACTACTAAATTTACTCAATATACTCATCAAGACTTGCAAAAGTTATCCATACAAATGATATCTTATATGTTGTTCACACATAATATATACTTTTAACTACAAATTATTTCAACAAGAAATCTTGAATATGAAAAACATGATACTATTTTTTTATATTTTCATATCTTTAAAGCGTTATCAAGATTAAACATTTATAACACAATAAATACCCAAGTTGTTTTTAGGAATTTTTTTTTAAAAGAACTCTATTTGAGAATATGCTCAAATAATTATGCGATTGAAATTTGAAATTAAAAAATTGGAAAAATATAAAAGAATTTCAACGCTCAATAATTATAAATTTAATTGCAGTGGCGTTCGTAACACTCAGTGGCATAGCGAGGATCATTCCTGAAAATTAGGCGTATATCTAGCTACAGTAACTTTATCAGATGTGCAAGTGAGGAAGAAAAAATATCTAGCTACAGTAACCTTATCACACAGTACAAGTGAGGAAGAAAGTTTTATTTAAATCATAAACATTTTGAATAGTTAATTTTTTTTTTGTTTCTTGAAAATAGTCTTAAAAGTAGAACATTCTATTGCAAACATTAAACCATTGCAAATGTTTAAACCAAAAATTAAATAAATCATAAAAAATTTAAATAAAAGAAAATTAACTCTTTTACTTCTGTTCAAAGAAATTTTTTTCTAAAAAAATAACTCAAGCATATACTAAAACTTAAGAAAATATAATTTGATTTATTAGACCAAATTTTTTCTTTTACTTTTTATTGTAAAACATTTTGAATAAAAAAATTGAATGAAAACATTAACTTAAAAATTATTTAAATGAAAAAAAAAATTATATTTTTAAATTAAATTTTTAAATTTTTAATAAAGCGCGAGATCTTTTAATAGTACACTAGATACTAGTACATAAATATATAATAGTACATAGACTAGATTTTATGTGGCATAGACTAGATTTTGTGTCATAGACTAGGTTCTATGTTTCATAGACTAGATTCTATGTATTGTTCACCATGTCTTTTTAATTAACAATGATAAAAAAAATATTAAAAGAAAATCTGATAGTATTTAAAAAAAATAATTGTATAAAAAAAAAATAATCTTGTAGGAAGCACTAAATCAAAATCCAGACTTAATGTGAAATTTAAAAATTCAACACAAGTAAAACTACAGTTTAAAAGAATTAAGAAATCCAAAGATGCAGAGAAAATAAAACAACAACAAAACAATTCATGAGCAATTCATGCTCATTAATTTAGCTGCTACACAAGGCTATTTTGACTATTATTTCATAAAAAAACTTGACGTAGGGCAATATAACTTGTTGGCAACCAACTCGGCCCATTTATTAATAAAAGAACAAGCCAAGCCAGTAGAGTGTGTTTTGCTTTACCAGCATTGATAAGTCTAAGACATCTTCTTAAATAATATTTTTATACTTTTTCACTATAATAAATATAAAGTGCTCTAAATTAAATAACAATAACAAAATTTTTTTTTTAGATAATACAAACTCACTACACTCCCCTCCCTATGACACCCACCCCCTCATGCCATCGCTATTATTAAATTTATCAAAAAATAATTTCTGAGCAAAAGCTTATTTTAAAAAGTTTGCAACAAATTTTGTAAGTATATTTGCATGTATGTATTTGTATATAAACTTACAGCATTCATCTCTTCAAGAATAGCTTTATGTATCACATCAACCATTCTTTCCATGTCAATGGCTTCATTACCATTGGCAATATTTTGACATATGTCCAAAACTCTAAAAAAACAGACACAAAGAAATATTTAACAACTATTAGAAATATTTAAAGCATAGACATTTTAATAAAAACTAGAAATACTTCTCTTTAATTAGGAAAATATTTTCTTTTGGAACATTGTCAGTTAAAATGTAAAATGAAGATTCTTTGTTTTCCATCATGCAAACATTAACCTAAATGTTTGAAAATTGATTAAAATAAACATGATTTTTTTTTTTTTGGATCTAATCTAAACATCTCAATGTTTTCTTTGTGTAGTATATATACTACACAGAATACTCAGTGTAATTGTTATTCTATATACTATATTCTATATACAAGTATAAAATCATATACTCATAGCACTTTCAGTAATTCTAAATTTAATTACACAAATTTCTTCTTTATTTATTTATTTCTTTATGACAAAAATTTTATTTAATGTTATTTTAAAAGTTAACATCTTAGATAAATTTTTTATAACTAAATTAAGTTAAAACATGTTTATAGTTTTTAAACTTATCTTTAAAAATTCTTTTCGATATAATATAAAATATTTCTAGGGGTTATTAAAACGTCATTTAAGTAATATTCAATGCAAATCATAGTAAGTATAATAAGGTCACTTATAAATTATCCAATTATTCAGTAAATATCATTTAACCTATCTGCAATCTTAACAAAACAAAACTTCGAAATTTAAAACAATTTTTTGAATGTGCTTAATCATGGTATATCGATCCTGGTATTAATATAATGTTAATCTTTACCCTTTAATACCAGTTAAATAATCAATTAATATTTTATTAGAGCAACTCCGTAATAGTCATGTCTTAAATTTTTGTTTTCAGAAATAAAAATACTTTTAGATTTGTGCTTGTCAAACTTTTATATTTTACATGAAAACAACAACAATACCATGGTATGTTGACGATATCCATTACCGTTTTAATGTGAGGCAGAATCAGAATGTTTTCTCAAATTGTTTAACAATCAACATACAAATATAAAATATACTATTGAAAAAGAAAGTGATTCACACTCAATAAATTTTCCTAACCTCTCAGTAATAAATAACAAATCCAGAACATACCTCTTCAATATCTATTGCCAGGATGCTATAACAAATGTGCAAATATAGCCACATTCTTGTCACAATCCAAAACTATTTTATGGTTCATTCAAAGGTTTTATCCTAAGAGGTTTTACATTAAAATTGCAGCAAAGAACATATAATCATGAATTAGAGTTTCTTATAGAAATGTTCATAGAAAATGGTTATAATAAAAAAATATTTCAGAACATTGTCAAAAAAAAACAACAATAAGCAAAATAATCAACCAAACAACAACAACATCAAAAACCAAAAGCAAAATTAAAATGGGTGTATTCAATTAAAAAAGATATGTAAAAATGCAGGATACACTCCAATTTTCAAATCTCCGAAAAGACCTTTAGTAATTAATATCTCAAAAAAAACAAGTCTTAACTTCTAACAACTTTTATACTGGAGTCTTAACCCCAGTATAAGAGTTAAACAAACTGGAAAGTTCATATATGTTCATATATGTTCATATATGGAAAGTTCATATGGAAAATTTCATGCAGGTGAAAAAAAGCTCAAGATTAAATAGTTAAAGGTTTCAACTTTGGCAATATTTATTTAATAATATAATATTTGGCAATATCAAAGACTTTTGAGGGAAAATGGAAAAAACTTGATCACGGTGGGGCATACAAGAAAATGCCATGGTGGCTTTGGCTGGAATGAAAAAAGCACAATTAAAGTAGAGGCAGATAATTTTAGAAGAAAGGTTTAAGAGTCTTTAGAAATACAGTGTCACCAGTGTTCTCCAAATGAAAGTGGTTTGAATGAAGATGATGCATTGAAGTTTTATTATTATTATTATTATTTTAATGATTATTTTATATTACTTGAATAAGAAGGGTATATACAATTCCTATAAATATTTTATATTATATTAAAAAGAATTTTATAAGGATAAGTTTAAATACCATAAACGGATGTTTCAACTTAATTTAACTCTAATATGTTTGTTTTTTAAAAAAAAACATGTTTCATCAGAAATTCAACATAAATAGTTTTTTTATACACCATATTACATTTTGTTTATTTATATATTACATTTCATTTTATTCATTTCATTAGAAGTTCTGAGTTTCATCAGAAATCATATTAATACTTAAATCGTTTTTTTTTAGCACTCTCAATTTCTCTTTTATTCTCAATTTTTCTTTTATTCAAAAATCTGTCTAGAATATTCAAAAAACTTATTGAAAATAAGGATTCAATAAGTTTTATTAATATTCTGACAGTTAATATATAAGTTAAACATATCAACACTGTCTTAAGTTTATTACCGACACCACATTAACTATCAAAACTGCGTTAATTTTGCTTCCATGGTAAATGGTTGTTATCTTCTTCAAAATAAGCTAAATGGTTGTTAATGTCTATATTATCAGTAAAGCTGTTTAAATACAATTAAAATGAAAATTATTTTTTATTTATTGTATTTTGGGAACCATCTTTGTTTTGTTTTTTAACATGAGAATAAAATAACTTTAGATTAGTTTTGATTTTATTTAATAGTTGTTTTTTCATATTCAAATATGAATATTTTTGTAATTCTTGATATTATCCTACTAATCATTTTATATTCATATAGTAACGGTAATTTGTCTTGTTAATTATTGAACAACCCTTGTATATGTCAGCCGTTCATATAAACACTTTCCAACACAATAACATCATTTCCCTTCAAAAATTTACAATTTTGCTACACATCCCTTTAATACACAATTTAATCTACTTCAATCATCATGGATATTTGTTGCAGTACAAGTTGCTTATAGCTTACATTGTACCCATAAAAAACTTGTCTTTCTTTTGATCTTGTTTGAAAATGATTTTAATTAGATCTACTTTCTAGTTGCCTTTGAATTTTGTAAACTACTATTGACTGGGCAAACATAGTTTGAAAAATAATTTTTCTGGTAGAATTTTCTTAATTATGTAAATCAACTATTAATGCAAAAGTTACTAAGGTTTTGTTTCTGACCCTTTTTATAAACTAAAAAAAATAAAAATAAAAGATAATTTAAATTAGTTGCAGAAATTCACCCTACTGAGCTTGCATTTCTAACCCTTTTTATAAACAAAACATAAATAAAAATAAAACAGTAAACTATTAGAAGTTAAGCATTTACAAGAACATAAAAAACAACAGAACAAAAATAAAGCATACAAAACTTGATAAACCAATGAAAGAAAAAAACATACATCACCACACATAGGTTCTTCACATTGAACTAATTCCCTTTGCAGTGGTGAGATTGTAGACTCAGTCAAATATATAAGCAATATATTCAATGCAGTTATTCCATAATAGTCCTAGCATTAAATACTATATATTTATATATGAAAAAATAAATATACAACTTAAAAAAAAAAATTACAAAATATAAATTTAAAAAGGTAAAAGAAAAAAAAAATAGAGTATTTATTGTTTTTGGCTTTATCTATCTAAAAAACCAACTAGTTGATACAACTTATAAATGAACTTTGAGGCCCAGACTCACCTTCTATATTCATTGTTGTTGTGTCAAATGTCTATTAGTGAAAAATATCACACAATGTTTTTCAATAAGCTTATTGTACTAATGGCTATTTCAAATATTCTTTAGAAAATTTTTTTGATAAAGGTGTTCATATAGCACATCTCTAAAATCTTCTAAATTTCATTATCAATCTTAGTTATTCAAATTAATCAAAAACACAAAATTTGAATACTCACCAACAATAGTCAAAAAAAAATATTTCTATTGTTTTTTTTGTTTTTTTTTAGTATAGTGGCAAAATACATTTCTTAATAAGCATATGATAACCTACACCATCACCACAAAATATTTCTTTCATTATTGTAATTATTTTGAATCTAATGTTTGTATGAGCAATATTTAGATCAAAACATTTAACTTTTAAATAAACCATGGAAAATGTAGAGAAATGGAAATTTAAGAATAATATTATTGTCTGAGTTTTCAATACAGCAGCAAATCCTATTTTAAAAGGATTTCTAAAAGAATTCCTCTTAAAACACCCAATAAGATCTTTGATCCTAAAAATTCCTTTTTTAAAAAAAGCAAATGAAATCATCTTTTTAGAGAAAATATTAAAATCATAGCACCACACAAGATAATTAGTAGCTGCAGAATCTGAATTAGTATTATGTATAGATGAACTCAAGACATGGGAAACATGCAGCACTAACAATCATGCCAGATGAATAGTGCATTTGCTGTATGCACCAAAGTTGTTAATTGTTTAAAAAAATTTATTGGAATCTTTAATAATCTAAAGAACGTTTTGACTTTTTTAAACAGCCATTAACATTAAAGCTTGATGCACCAAAAGATTGAGAATATATATAAAAACTAAAATATAATTAAAATAATATATATAAAATTATATAAATAAGATTTTTTAACAATTTAGATCAATACGGCGGCTGAAAATGTCAAACAGACACTCTTGGTATCTAGCTGAAAAGGTGACTGTATTGATTATTTTCAAATAAAATTATGATAAAGAAAAAATTGTTAGATGGAAAACAACTAGATATCAATTACAGTGAACCAACTTTTCTATTAAATTAAAAAAAAAAAAAAAACTTCTTCTTATATTATAGGAAAAAGACTTGATTTTTCATAACTTAAAAAATGATAGAAAAGGATTCAACTTTCTCTTCAAATTGGGATGAGAATGCTTATTTGAAGATAAATTTTTAAAACTTTAAAACTAACAACAAAGCTGAGAAGGGAAGTTAAGGAATAAAGGAATCATTTTTCTTGATTGTATTTAAAGTCTTGTTGTGCTGATTATAAAAAAACAACTACAAAAACTTCAATTACTTTTTTTTATTACAAAAAGTGCTGGTTAGACATAACACATTCTACAATAACAACAACACAACAAGATTTAAAATTTTAAATAAAAAACTTGATTTAAATTTTTGTGGAATTTAAAACACTACTGAAAGAAGAAAATTTATTTATTTATTGTAATTATTTTCTAAAGAAAATAAGAACATTACATTAAAAAAAAATTGATCTTACCAAAACATTCGGACCTCTCCAACCCATAGCAACCAATCCTGTGGATTCATCATCTGTTGGAAAAATAATATGTTGCTCATTGCATTCTTTTTCTAATGGTGGGACTGGTCCACTCCAAGGCCGTTCTTTTTTTTCCTGATTTGCCTAATTTCATTAAACTTTATAAAACTATTTGTCTACTTTTTTAATACACATGAAAAGTAACTTATGGTGCAGTGCAAAATAAGAATATACAAAAATTCAATTAATACATCAACTGTGGAGTCAGGTAGGTAGTGTAAAGTTGCCAGACAGTTGTCTTGCAAAAAATGTTTGTTTTACAGGTAAAAACAAATTAAAAAAATGAAAAAACATTTTTTGCTGTAGCTACTATACATAGCTCTTCTCAAACTTCAAACTCAAACCCTTCAAAAACTTAAACCCTTGTCCAATGTATGAACTGAAGATAACTTTTTCTTTATACATGACACCATAAATATTTCATGTATGCTAAACTAACAATTACATAAATATATATATATTTTTATATAAGGTATATGTTAATTTTATAGAGTATATACCCTAAGCTCAGAGCAAAAAGGTTGTAAATGACACTTTGCAAAACAAAGAAAAATTGCTTTGAAAATTGAGATTTGCACAATCAACAAAAATCTTGAATCAATATGCAGAATATCAGGAAAATTCTGATACTCTGCACAAAATAGTTACTAAATAATTGTTCTTATTATTAAATAATGTCTTCTAGATAGTGTAAAACTTAAGCAACCCAATATCAAAAGATTAAATTTAAATTCAAATCATACAAAACCTAATCCGATCCTTTCAAGTGATTCACAAAGGAAAATTTTAGAAAAATTGAACCATATTTATAAATTTTATACCCTGATCTACTATTTATTTGTAAATTATTTGTATTTCTTCTTACAAGTGTAAAAAGTTTTTGCTTTTTGCCACAATGTAAATACTTTTTTTTATCATATTTTCTCATTTTATATTTTAACAGTTTTATCATTTTGTTATCAGACTTCTATTTATCATTAAAAAAAGGTAAATTTTATTTTACTTTTATATTATGATATTTTTAATTTTATTTATTTTTTTATTTTATTTTAATGATTGATTTTTTTCACTTGAAAAACGCTAATACCTAAAGCTTGAAGCAAAGATCATAATAAATATATAATTTAAATCTGATAAAAAAAATGTATGATATAATTTAAAACTAACAAAAAAAATACATAATTTAATTCTAATTAAAAAAATACATAATTTAGTTCTAATTTTAAAAATATATAATTTAATTTTGATTAAAAAAATATATTTAAGCTTGACAAAATTAAAGTTAATGCTTGGGTTTGGCTTAACTGAAAAATTTATTTTTAAATATTAATAAATATTGCTCAATATTTAAATTTTATTTATTCTTAAAAAAAATTAGCTCATTTTTATCGCTATTGTTTTTTTGGTTTTCCTTCCAAATATATTTTTTTTACTAAAAATTAAATTCCTTGTAAACGTCTTCTGCGTCAAAAATTTGCACAAAACATAGATTAAACTTTTTTTTATAACGAAAGTTAAAGCACAGCGATTATTTTGTAATAAATGGAATAAACAGCAATAATGGTAAAAAAAAATTAAAAAAAATGGTTTTTGGAAAAATAATTTTTGCTTTCATAACAAAATCATTGATAAAATAATAAACTTTTATCAAATAAAGTAAATAAATTAAGGTAAATTTCTTATTTGTTATTCTCTAATTTTTTTTTAGGAGCCTCAATTAGGAATTTAAGAAATGATAATTATAGAATTTCTGACTTAAAGAAATTAACATTTTTTCCAAATTTAACTTTATTTCATTTATACAAATGTGAAGAAGAAAAAAAATTGTTTATATCAAACAATTTTAAAAATGCAATTACAAATTTAATTATTTAGTATAAAGAAAAAATAAATGAAAGAATATAACATTCGATAATAGGATTTCTACATTTATTTAACATTTATTTATTTAACTTGTTTTGCTGTAATTAATAATAATGCAATAGTTTAAAAAAGTTAATGTCTTATAAAAATAAAAAGAATTTTATGATGTCAAGTTAAGGACATTATTATTCTCACTATGGTCGTGGGCCTCTTCATCAACTAGAGACATAACAACAGTGGTAGGATTAATATAAATGCAGTATCTCTTCCGTGAGTTAATCTCATTAAAAAAATACACCTGTTATATTGATCATGAGTCAATCTCACTGAAGAGATACACCTGTTATATTGATAATGAATGTCAGTTCATGTTTGACATTAGAGTACCTTGCTTTCTACCATATCCTAAAAAATAATCTTTAGATAGCAAAATACTAAAAAGCATTATTTTTATTTTAACTTTAAAAGGTTTTGAATGTTGAGGAATTAAAAATTACATTAAAAAACCCTGAGAGGAAGGGATTCCTAGAATTTCTGACTTGAAAAATCATTATTATATTATTTTCATTAAAACATATTATGATGTACAGATCTAAGTTTCTGTACTGCACATCTCCAGACAGCACCATTACTATGAATTTGCCCACCTCTTAAGAATAAAATTTTTAAACAGAAGATTGTCTGGTCCATTACAAATACTGCTTGGATAGATGTTCCAGTAGTGAACAATATGTATTTCATACACATGATGTCAGCATGCTAACAGAGGTAGAGAGTTGTCAACCGCTGAAGCTAGTTTAATGTATACTCTTTTCAGTAATCCAGTGTTAGAAATAGTAGTATCAAAAATACATTTAAGAAACTTGTCAGTAATCACAAATTGCTTAAGTAGTTTCATGATTGCTTTTTTATGCGCCTCTCCTGTAATTGTAGTGTCATGTAACATCATTTAGAGTGAGAGGTGGAAACCAAGTAGCTCTGTCAGTCCATTCATCTCAATTAATGCAGCAGGTCTGTGATGAATATAAGTGAGAGGTAGAAACCAAGCAGCTCTGTCTGTCCATATATCTTGATTAATACAGCAGGTCTGTGATGAATATAGCAATTTTTTCTCATCTGTCTAATTCTTTAAGAAACTAGCTATTAAAGTGTAGAATTATAGGGGATACTGATGATTGTGCAAGAGTAGAAATTTGTTCTCTAATCTTCTCTCCTTCTTCTCTTCTCTCCTTCTTTGGTCAAAAACCTCTTATACACCTTTAAATGATGTTGCTATGACACTACAAAATCTCACATAGTAGCTCCAGAGTTTGCAATGACAGTGGACACAATTTCAGTGTACTGTCTACCAGTAAGTCACTCTCCTATAGCAAGTAAGTGCTGTTTTCTTTAGAATGTACTTTGGAAGAATAACTGATCATCCAGATTCTACTTTGTCTATATCAGTCTAATAGTCATGATGATAAGTCTGAATTATCACCATAACTTCTTGCAGAGCTGTGTGAAATGTTAAAAATATTTGTGGTGTCTTCTGCACTTTCCCTGGTAGACAAATGTTTCTTCTTTAGTCTTTCAACAGCATATTAGAACCTTTGATCCTTTGTTCTAATTATTCCCATTCATTCTCCCAGCTGATTCAAGATAAATTCATTATCTTCTAATTTTTCCTGATATCCTTAATCAGTAATAGCTAGGGTTGGCCACCATATGAGAAGCAATATTAGCTGATAATATATATTATGGTGGTACTTGAAAACCTTTTTTTCAGTAAATTCCTCAGACATTCCCTATTTATTTTCCTATTAATGTACTAATGTAGTGTGCAGAAATTCTTTGGAATATTCATTTATATTAGTAAACATTTGAAAAAACATACCTTGCTTATAATTTTATCCTCAAAAGGTTTAATGACACGAAACACATCTTCTGGATTGACCTTTCCAGTAATGATCAAGCAAAGATTATCAGCTCGATAAAATTCTGAATGATATTTACGAACCTTTAAAAAAAGTATTTGCAATTAAAACTTTTCTTTTTAACATATAAAACTCCTAAAACATAACTTAATCTATAGATAAAATATATCATATGTGTTCAATGACATAATTCAAGTTTTTCCGTGGTTACCTTGGCTTGCTTACCTTTTCATGACTACAAGTAGTTCTTAGATTTTTCATTATACCCCCAGTTTCACTCTAAATAACAAATATAATAAAAGTAAAAATCTAAATAAAAAATTTTTATTCATTTTCAAGTTTATAAAAGTAAACTTGAAAATGAATAATAGTTATTCAACTTCAAGATAAACTACCTGTGAAAGGTGTAACTACCTGTGAATGGTGTAACTACCTGTGAACGGTGAAACTACCTGTGAATGGTAAAACTACCTGTGAATGGTGTAACTACTTGTGAATGGTGTAAGATAAAAAGCTCTTAACCTTTTTACAAAACATTTAAAAAAGAAATTGAAAATATTTTTTAGTTATATCCTGTATGTATGCTGCAGTTCTGTGTTTTTATGTCTTCCATGTTAAGAAGCATAATTTATATACATTTACATACAAAATGGCCATTGAATTTTTTTTTTTTTTTTTTTTTTTAACATCTTCACTTCCAACAAGGCTGCAAGCAACCACTATAAGAGTTGGAAGTTACTGGAAGAGAAAAGACTAAATCTGTAGAGCAAGATAACGATTGACTGATGACTTAAAAGATTGCAAATTATATGAAACAGGAAAGCAAGATGAAGGAAGCGAATTCCAAAGAACTGATGTTCGAGGAAAAAAACTAGAAGAATAAGAGTTTTTGAAGCACTTAGGAACAGTCACAGAAAAAGGATGAGACTTAATTGAATGGCGAGTAACACGAGAATGAATTTTAGTAGATGGCACAAGGGACGCTAGCTCTTTAGAGCAGTGCCTATTATAGTATTTGTAGAAAAGAGAAAGAGAAGCAACATTACGACGATGTGACAAAGGTTGGAGATTGGCTGCCAGAGCAGGTCCAACTATGTTTACAATTCGTTTTTGCACCTTGTCTAAAAGAGAAAGAGCATCATTAGAAGATCCGCCCCAGATGTGGCAACAGTATTCCATACAGGGACGGATTTGAGATTTATAGAGATAGAGAATAGAATCTGGAGTAAGAAAGTGTCGAGCTCGATAAAGAGATGCAACCTTAGCAGATGCTAATTTTGCAATGGATTTGATATACGGTTTAAAAGAAAGATCAGAAGTAAGAGTTAATCCTAGAAGATGAATGGTAGATGACTCATCTAGTACATTACCATTCATAAATATAGGAAGATCTAAATTATTACGATAACGATTGGCCGAATAAAATTGAGTTTTATCTGAATTAAAGTTCACCAGCCACTGTGAGCCCCATGCTGTAGCAGAAGTGAGATCCTTTTCAAGCTCAGATACCCCCTCCAAGCAATCAGAGAGTGTAGGCTTCTTATCATGACAAGAGTAAATGGTAGTGTCGTCGGCGAATAATGCCACCTTAGATGTGAGAATATCTGGAAGATCGTTAATGTAAATTAAAAAGAGTAGAGGGCCAAGGATTGAACCTTGAGGAACCCCTGAAGTTACAGGATGTGAAGAAGAGTGTTGTCCATCGAGGACAACTTTTATACTACGATTGGAAAGAAAGGACTCAATAATCTTAAAGACGTTACCAGCTACACCATAAGAAGAAAGCTTATGGAGAAGACCAGCATGCCAAACTTTATCAAAAGCTTTAGAAATGTCAAGTGCGATAGCCTTAACCTCTCCACCTCTATCTAATGCACGGTAAAACCTATCGGTTATTACTGTTAGCACATCAGCTGTAGAACGAGAAGACCGAAATCCATATTGATGATCAGAAAGTAAGTTATTTGATTCAAGATGAGAGATTAAGTGTTTGTTGATTAAAGATTCAAAAACCTTGCTTATGACAGGAAGAAGACTAATGGGACGGTAGTTAGATGAATCAGATCGCTCTCCGGAATTTTTGAAAATAGGGATAACAGATGCTGCTTTCCAGCATGATGGAAAACAAGACTCTGATAAGCACTTGTTAAATAGTTTAGAGAGTATGGATGAAAGCTCAGGAGAACACCTCTGCAAGACTACAACAGGAATGTTGTCAGGACCACAAGCTGTTGAAGAGTCTAAGCAGGAAATTACTTTAGATACAGAAGCTGAAGTGATGCGAATGTCAAGCAAGGGATCAACCTGTTTGACAGCTATGTCAGGTAAAACGCAACTAGTGGAATCAAGAGATGATATTGATGAAAAGTTCTTAGCAAACAATTCAGCTTTGTCTTTAGGTGAGGTGACAAAGTCTGAACCATACAAGAGAGAAGGAATAACAGATTTGCCCTTATTGATACTGTTAAAGATTCTCCAGAAGTCTCAAGAGCCTAATTTTTGTGATGAGATACGAGATTTAATGACCTGGGAATAGCGAGCTTTGGCGTCAGACAAAACCTTTTTACAATGGTTTCTGGCGATAGTGAACAGATGTCTGTTTTCTGGAGAATTGTTTTGCTGATAGATATGGAAGTAACAGTTTCGATTAGAAATTGCTGCAGCGCAATGTGAGGAAAACCAAGGAGAACAGTGAGGCTTGACCTGGAATCGTCGAGAGGGAATAAAAGATTCCATGCCAGCCTGAATCCACGAAGTTATGTAAGAAGCACATTTGTCAGCAGGAAGACGAAAGATTTCTACCCAAGGGCCATCACGAAGAAAATCACGGAAAGAGTCCCAGTCAGCTTTAAGGTAGTTGTATGTGGTACGATGATAGGGGGATTCTGATGAAGTAGAAGAATTTGATAATAGTTTTAGAGAGATCAAACCGTGATCAGAAGTACCTAAGGGTGAATGTGGAGAAATTGAGCACTGACTAGGATCCAAAACAAGACATAAGTCGAGTAGAGAAGGTAAATGATTAGGGTTGTCTGGAAAACGAGTTGGAAAGTTGACTATTTGAGTTAGAGATTGAGAAAGGCAAAAGTTGAGGGCCTTAACGCCAGCAGAGTCACTGACACTAGAGCCAAGCCAATCGGTGTGGTGGGCATTAAAGTCACCAACAACGACGATATTGGCCGATGGATAAAGAGAGAGGGCTTGGTCAATTTGATCAGAAATAACATCAAGAATAGTGCAATCTTGGGATGAAGGAGAGCGATATAGAACAAAGAGAAAGGCGATAGAGTGAAGTTGTGCTAAACGAAAGCACATAAATGAATAGTCTGTAGATTCAAACCTAGTTTCACGACAAATGGGTGAGTTCTTACGAATGTAGATGCCCAGACCAAGCATGTGATTATTGGAGTCTTTACGAATTAAAGGAAGATAACCATCAACACTAAGATCACAAGATGGGACAGCCGAACTCAAATTAGTCTCACAAAGAGCAAGTAGGTCTGGTGAACTTTGCAAGAGATAAGACTCAACAGAAGAAAAGTTACTTCGAAGACCACGAATATTAGTAAATGATAGGTTTAGAGAACTTGGTGATGATGATGGTTTTTTGTGTTTTTTAGTTTTAGGTACTTTAGTCATTTTAAATTTATAAAGAACTTGACTCAAGTATAGATAGTACTCAGTACACTATTTAACAACTAAGCAATAGCCTCATTACTATTAATAAACCCTAAGCCGTAACAAAGGGCTCCAAATGTGGCCTCTGCAATGCACACCAAAAGTACAAACAGGGACACCATCCATGCGCAACATGGCACTGTTAGTACTCTGATATTTTTCGGCTGTTGATGGAATCAGCCTCTCTGAGAGCTACCACAGAGTTCGGGAAACCTGACTACCAGCCGGCCTCAGAACCATAAAACTGAGTTTTAGAGCTGTACCCTCATAAGGAGATAATAGAATGAGTTGCCCAGTCATAAAAATAGAGACACAAGCAATATCCACGCATTGAGTCAAGAAGATCCAGCGTTCAACATCCTAAACTGGAAACAATGTATTAAAAATACATCTGCGCCAGCCTAATAGATGAGGAAGGGGTGCGAGGCTGGTCAACAGATAGAATCTGTTTACCCCTTAAGTCTTTGCCTAGGAGGCCTTCTACAAGACAGCAGCTGGATGCATGTAACATCTGCCCAAGATGAGTATTTTTATCGAGACACCATCTCTAGCCTTTACTCAACCAAGAGCCCCAAGGCAGGGGGTGTTTTAATTCGGAGTTAACTTCTCCTAGCCTTTGCCTAAAAAAGCGTATCCTACAAGGCAGCAGGACATGGAGCAGGTTGTACTGGGTTACATGTTACCAGTAGCAGGAAAACCTGACCTGACCTATAATGACCTATATTACAGGTTTTATTATTTAAGTTGCCTTTTGATATAGTTTTATGTGACATTTATTCAGAAAACATAAAGTTATAATTAATAATTATAACTTAATTAATAATTAATAATTATAACTTAATAAATAATTCATAAATATAACTTAATAAGGTGATATAAACATTTTTACCATAATTGTAAAATAATTTATAAACGGTGATATAAACATTTTTACCATAATTGTAAAATAATTTATTTTTTTGATAAAAAAGAGATTGCTGTATTTTTTTACATTTAAGAACTTTTTTTACTGTATAAAAAAATTTGTTTATAGTTTTTCTTCAAAATTGTAAAATAAATCATGATAAAATATAAATAAAATAAACTTTTAACAACAAGCAGAAAAGAACAACTATACAAATAAAAAATAAAATAAAGGATAATTGTTTTTTCTTAAAAACAATTATTTGTACAATTAAATTTTCTTTTATTGATGTTTTTCAATAATGAAACTCACAACTAACAAGAAACCTTTTTAATAAAACCAGACAATAAAATTAGATAGGCATTACATTTAGTCAAAAATGAAAAACACATGTTACTTAAATATTTATATTATTTAAAATAAATAATATTTTTGCAGGCCATACATTTTTCAACGATTCCATTATTAAACAAATTTCTTTTATTTGTTGTAGTAATTATAAAAAAGTGCAACACTTATTGTGCTTAAAAAATAAAATATTAAGATATTTTATTTTTAACCAATTAAAATAGCTTTTTTAATTATGAACATTTTCCGGAATTTTCTAGAGTTTATGGAAGAGTTTATGGAAGTTTCTAGAGTTTATGGAAGTTGAAGTAAGAATTAAACTATAGAAGTTGATTGAGCAACACTAATAATTATATTTGAATCTGTGTTTGCCAGAAGTACAACAGCATTTATATTTATTATTATTGCCTTTTAAAATATATTCAATTATTATCTTAAATTAAAAAATCGTATAAGAAAAGTGCTTCCACAACTGAAAGAAACATGACATTTAAGAATCACTTTTAAGAAGACTGCAAGCAACCACTATTATAGTAGGAAGTTACTGGAAGAGAAAATATGAGGTCTATAAAGCAAGATAACAATTAACAGACAACATAAAAAATTGCAAATCATGATTCAGGAAAACAAGATAAAAGGAATGAATAAGAAAGAAATAATGTTTGAAAAGACAAAAAAGAATTTTTAGAACACTTAATAACAGTCACGATAAAAGGATGAGTACCCGTCCCAGTAAAGTGAAGAAATATTACAACAATGTAATAATGGTTTGAGGTTGGCGGCAAGAACAGGTCCAACTTTACAATGCATTTTTGCACCTTGTCTTTTGGAAGATCGTTAATGTAAATAAAAAAAGTGTAGGGCTAAGGACAGAACCATGAGGACCTCCTGAAGTTACAGGTAATAAAGAAGAATGCTGTCCATTGAGGATAATATTTATACAACGATTGGTAAAGAAAGATTCAATAATCTTAAAGACGCTACCTAATACACAGTAAGAAGAAAGCTTATGGAGAAGACTAGCATACCAAATTTAATCAAAGGCCTATAAAATGTCAAGAGCGATGACTTTAACCTCTCCACATCAATCTAATGAACGATAAAAACCTATCGGTAATTACAGTTAACAGATCAGCAGTACAGTTTGTTAATTACAGTTAATTATTGTTAATTACAGTTAACAGATCACCAGAAGATCAAAATCTGAATTAATGAGATAAAAGATAAGAGATTAAATGCTATTTAAATGCTATTTAAATGCTATTTAAATGCTATTTAAATGCTATTTAAATGCTATTTAAATGCTAAATGACCAATGCTATTTAAAGACTCAAAAATCTTATATTGCTTATGATAGTAAGAAGATTAATAAGACGGTAGTTAGACAAGTCGCTCTCCAGAAATTTTGAAAATAGATAATAAGAAGCACTCTGATAAGCACTTGTTAAATAGTTTTGAAAGTAAAGACAGCAGCTTAGAAGAACACGTTTGCAAGACTATAACAGGTATGTTGTCTGGACCACAAACTGTTGAAGAGTCTAAGCAGGAAATAACTTTAGATACAGAAGCTGGAGCGATACGAATGTCAAGCAATAGATTAACCAGTTCGTCAGCTACATCGGTAGGATTAGTGGAATTAGTTTTACCTTTAGGTGAGGTAAAAAAATCTAAATACTTTAAAGATTCTCGAGATGTCAAGAGAGCCTAATTTTTGCAATAAAATTTTTGCGATAAAATACAAGATTCCAAGCCCTGAGAATAACAGGTTTTGGCGACAAGAGACGCCTATTTTCTAGAGAATTGTTTTTTGATAGATATGGAAGCAATGGTTATGATTGGAAATTGCAGCAGGACAATGAGAGAAAAACTATGAAGAATAATCCAAGAAATAACATAAGAGGCACTTTGTCAGTAGAAAGACAAAAGTGTTCTACCCAAGGGCCATCATGATTTTTCATGGAAACAATACCAGTCAGCTTTAAAGTAGTTGTAAAAGATACAATGATAGAGAGAATTCTGATGATGAAGAAGAATGAGATAATAGTTTTAAAGAGATCAAGCTGTAATCAAAAGCACTTAAGAGTGCATCAAGAGAAACTGAGCACTGACTAGGATGTAAAACAAGACATTAGTCAAGTATAGAAGGTAAAAGATTTGGATTGTCTGGAAAGTGAGTTGGAAAGTTGACTATTTGTGTTGAAGATTAAGAAAGGTAAAAGTTGTGCGCCTTAATGCCTGCAGAGCCAGTGACACTAGAGCTAAGCCATTCAGTTTGATAAGCATTATCACCTACAATAACGATATTGGCTAAATGACAAAAAGAAAGGGCTTGGTCACTTTGATCAGAAATAAATTATTATAAAGCAAGCAAAAGATTATAATGCTTTGTATAAGTTTTAAGAATATTCTTTTTAAATACCAAAATAGGTTTCATTAGTTATTATATTATCTTTGTTATAGTTTCAGTTAAGTTACATTTAAATTTACTCTATAATAAATAATATAATAAATAGCACTTTTTTTGTTACACCAACAAACCTAATATTTATATAATAATAGTGTTTAAGTATTTTGTAATAGTATCCTTAAAGGTTTAAAAAGATTGGATTAAGTTCAATTTTATGCCTAATATCTAATATCTACTAATATCTAATCTTTAGTCTTATCAACAAAACCGTTTAATCTGCATTGTAAAAATAAATTCTTATCCAAGAATTAGGCAGTTTATGTTTTCTGAATCATGGATAAAAATACAAATCGAGATAAAGTTTAATCACTAATCCACTTGCACATTATATATCTAGTAAAACTTTATATACAAATGCAATAATTTTGTAAATAATATTAGGGTTTTGAATTTTTAACTATTTGTAAAATAATTAATTTCTTGTGTCATGAATCTATAAACTTATGCTTAAAAGTAATGAAAATGGGGTTTATTTTGATTGATTTTCAAAAAAGGTTACAAAACATGAAATTTTAAAAAGGGCATATAAATATTCTGAAGCAGAGAATTTTCTTAAACGTTTTAGTACTTTCTAAAATTTTCTAGACTGTTATAGATGTTTTAAATAATCTCTGAAACTATCTAGAATTTCTGGAATTTTATTCTAGAAAGTTTATGGAAATTAGCAAGATTTTAAGTATATAAGTTGCCTGATTTGAGCAACTCTAATAATTATATATGAAACTGTATTTGCCAGATGGCAGTTAAACAATATAGAAGTATAATAGCACTTATACCTATTATTATTGCAATGTAAATGTAAATAATTTATGTAATATATTGCATGTAATAATTCTGTATTTTACGCAAACTATTATGTATAATTTAAAACTCTTTAACCTTTACGCTGTAATATTTATCCGGTAAAAGTTAATAATAAAAAAAAATTACTTTATATCCACATTTGCCAGGATACATTGCTCTTAAAAAATTCAGATGTGTTAGACTGTGTCCAGTGTTTTCCCTAGCTTGCATTTCACAATAAACAACACCTGCATTCTCTCCTGCTCCATTAATGTGATGAACTTCTGTATGATAAGCTGATTGCTATAAAGTTTAAAAATTAAAATAGTAAACATATATAAACATTAATAAATAAAATACTAAAAATAAAAAGTTGAAAAATTAAAATATATAAAAAAAAATCATAAAAAAACATTTTGACTATAAGGAAAATATTTTTATTTAATTTATTTTTTCAAATAAAACACAATGATTAAAAAATGGAAGTCTTGAAAATACATGTAAAAACCAAGTGTCTTAATTGTTAATGGTTATTAATGGAGAATATTTAATGGGAAGTTAATGGAGAATGTTTAATGGAGAATGTTTAATGGGATTTTTTTCTAACAGTAAAATAAAAAGTTTTTATAAGCTTTATAAGTAATATTGATATGGTAAAATTATATTGATATGGATGGATTGATATGAATATTGATATGGTAGAATTATAAGTTTGTAAGCTTTTCTTTTTAAAGGAAAGAGAAATAAAAAGTTTTCTTTTTCATAATGCAAAATTGGTTTAAATTATGTTTCTTTCTTATTACTGTAAAACTATTTATGCATAAAATTCCTTGTCGTAAACTGTGTTATGATTTTGTGCAGCTACACAAATTCAATCTTTGTAATATTTTTATAATAAATTTTTGAATCTTTCAAAATTTTTTTAAAAATAAAAAAAAAGTTTGACAAACATTCAAAATTAATATCAAAATTTTAAAACTTGTGCATTAGACGGAGGCAGCAAGGCTAGGGCTATTGCTTTTGACATATCTAAAGCTTTTAACAAAGTTTTTCATGTTAGCTTGTGAATTTTAAATCTAACCAAACTCAGTTATTCAATAAAAAACTCAGCCATTTAAACCAACAAACAAATGTTCTGCTAACTGTTTCCTTGCTTTCTAACGCTTTCTTTGTTTTTTTTTATAACTTCTTACTTTATAGAGGTTGCAAGCTTTGTTAGGATTGAATTAAAATTATATATACATATACATATACATATAAATATATATACATATACATATAAATATATATATATATATATATATATATATATATATATATATATATATATATATATATATATATATGTATATATATATATATATATATATATATATATATATATATATATATGTATATATATATATATATGTATATATATATATATGTATATATATATATATGTATATATATATATATATATATATATACATATATATATATATATATATATATATATATATATATATATATATATATATATATATATATATATATATATATATATATATATATATATATATATATATATATATATATATATATATATATATAGAAAGAGAGAGAGAGAGAGATAGAGATATATATATAAATATATATATATGTGTCGGGTCAGGAGTGTCAGGTCAGGAGTATGATCTTCATGATCATCCTGCTACTGGTAACATGTAACCCAGTGCAACCTGTTCCATGTTCTGCTGCCTTGCAGGATTTGCTATCTATTTGTTCTTCCTGTCATCAGTACTATCTTATATCAGTCATGCCTATAGAATTTTTTTTTTTTTTTTTTTTCCCATATAGTTTGAGGTGCCTTAGTTACTGTATTAGCTCACCTGTAATCTACGTTATATCTATGTTTGTGTTCTGTCTGAACCTCTGGCGCGGTGTTCGCTCACCCGTAAGTTACTTTATGTTTTTTATGTATGTTTGTGTTCTGTCTGAACCTCTGGCGCGGTGTTGACTCACCCGTAAGTTGATTTATGTTTGTTTGTGTTCTGTTTATACTCTAATGCAGCGTGAGCTCAGTAACTAACTACTTACTCCAACTACAAAACGTACACTCACCTTAGACTCCTGTATTTTGTTAGATGCAGTGTTTTTCCTAATGCACTTCCAAAATGTCATGCCTGGTTTTCTCAAAGTACTGTTGCGGGAAGTAGCTCCTTTTGACTACTCCAGGTCAGGTCAGGATAATCAAGATCAATCTTGCTACTGGTATCACATAACCCAGTACCACCTGCAACAAGCCCTGCTGCCTTGCAGAGTGTGCTCTTCTTATGCAAAGGCTAGGAGAAATAAACTCCGACTAAAAATTCCCCTGCCTTGGTGCTCTTGGTTGAGTAAAGGCTAGAGATGGTGTCTCGATAAAAACACTCATCTTGGGCAGATGTTAACTGCATCCAGCTAAACATCCCCTGCCTTGTGGCTCTTGGTTGAGTAAAGGCTAGAGATAGTGTCTCGATAAAAACACTCATCTTGGGCAGATGTTAACTGCATCCTGCTACTGTCTTGTAGAAGGCCTCCTAGGCAAAGACTTTAGGGGTAAGCAGAAAAATTCTGCTAAACCCCTAAAGTCTTTGCCTCGAGAAAAATTCTGCCTCGAACCCCTTCTTCATCTATTAGGCAGGCGTAGATGTAACCTGTGTTACATTGTTTCCTGCCTAGGATGATGAATGCTGGATCTGTTTGACTCTACTCATAGAATTTTGCTTATGCCTCCTTGATAATGGCTATGCAACTCTTCCTGTTATATCCATATGAGGGTACAGCTCTAAAACTCAGTTTAATGGTTCTGAGGCCAGCTGGTAGTAAGGTTTCCCGAACTCTGTGGTAGCTCTCAGAGAGGCTGATTCCATCAACAGCTGCAAAATATCAGAGTATTAACAGTGCCATGTTGCGCATGGATGGTGTCCCTGTTAATGCTTTTGGTGTGCATTGTCAAGGCCACATAAGGAGCCCTATGCCACGGCTTAGGGTTAATTAACAGGACTGAGACAACTGCATAGCTCATTGATTAGGAGGCTGTGCTCTATCTATGAATGAATCAAGTTTTCATTAAACCCAAATCATGACCAAAGTAACCAAAAATTTAAAACCCAAAAAACCATCCCATCACCTAAATATTTTAATATATCTTTTACAAATATTCGCGGTCTACGAAGCAACTTTCCATCAGTTGAGTCTTACCTCCTGCAAAATTCACCAGACTTGCTTGCACTCAGTGAAACAAATTTAAATTCTGCAATTTCTTCTTCAGATGTCAGTGTTGATGGGTACTATCCTTTGATTCGTAAAGACTCCAATAGTCACATGCTAGGTTTATTATTGCAAGAAATCAATGTAAAAAGGTGCTTTCTGATGCTAAACTCCATTATTCTCAGTTCACTAAATCTCGCATCTTATCGCAGAAGTTAGGCTCTAAAGACTTTTGGAAAATCTTCAACAGCATTGTTAACAAGGGTAGATCTAACATTCCATCTCTCATTCATGGGACTAATCTTGTTACCTCTCCCAGGGATAAGGCAGAACTGTTTGCAAAGAACTTTTCTTCTAATTCCACTCTTGAATCTTATGGACATTCTCTTCCTTCCATTCCAGTCAAACAGGTTGACCCATTGTTAGACATTCAAATCACTCCGGCTTCTGTTGCTAAAGTCATATCTCAATTAAACTCGTCTACAGCTTGTGGTCCAGACAACATTCCTGTCACAGTCTTGCAGAATTGTTCTCCAGAACTTTCTTCAGTTCTCTCTAAACTATTTAACAAGTGTTTGACTGAGTCTTGTTTTCCTGCTTGTTGGAAAATGGCATCTGTGGTTCCAATATTCAAAAACTCTGGAGAAAATTCTGACCCCTCCAATTATCGTCCGATCAGTCTTCTTTCTGTTATTAGCAAGGTCTTTGAGTCTTTGATCAACAAATTCCTCACATCTCATCTTGAATCAAATAAACTACTGTCAGACAATCAATACGGTTTTCGATCCTCTCGCTCTACGGCCGACTTGCTAACTGCTGTAACTGAAAGATTTTATTGTGCATTAGATGGAGGCGGTGAGGCTAGGGCTATTGCTCTCGACATATCTAAAGCTTTCGACAAAGTTTGGCATGCTGGTCTTCTCCATAAGCTTGCTTCATATGGTGTTTCTGGGAAAGTTCTTGAGATTATCAAATCATTTCTTTCTAACCGGTTTAATAAAGTCATCCTTGAAGGCCAACACTCTTCTTTATTTCCAGTAACTTCTGGGGTTCCCCAAGGTTCCATCCTGGGCCCTGTTTTGTTTCTTATCTACACAAACGATCTTCCTGACAACCTTTCATCTAAAGTAGCTCTTTTCGCTGATGATTCAACTTTATACTCCTGTCTTGACAAAAAGTCTTCCTTTTTCGATCGCCTAGAACAAGCAGCTGATCTTGAATCTGATCTCACTTCAGTAATAGATTGGGGTTCACAGTGGCTTGTGAATTTCAACTCTAAAAAAACCCAATTGCTTACTGCAAACAACTACCGTAATATGGTCAACATTCCTATATTAATGAATGGCAATCCTCTTACTGAGTCCTCCTCTTTACGTCTTCTTGGATTATCGCTTACTTCTGACCTTTCATGGAAACCATAGTAACTCCCAAGTAACTCCTAGTAACTCCCAACTTAATAGTGGTTGCTTGCAGCCTTGTTGGGAGTGAATGCAAATAAAAAAAAAAATATATATATATATATATATATATATATATA